GAAACGAAGAAATGGATGATCATTTTACAGGGTATGTCTAACCTCAGTAACAGGGACGAAGCGTATATAAGCCATAAATCCTTCTATTTGCCTTGAAAGGCACAAAACTTGACGATATGGCTCCGTGATCATCAAAATCATGAAAACATTTATGACTCGTGTACATAAACGAAAACGGACAAGAAGCAAAAATTTATAATATAACGGGGAATGTTTGATACAAGAAAACGCACTTAACTCATGCACAAGTGCATCGTTCCCAGAGGCATTTTTATGATACGTTACGTAATACTATACTTGAGGAGAAGATGCCCGTTTTTGCTCGTTCTTCCAAGGTTTACTTCCTCGAAACCTCGCCAACCTTGACATCAAAAATGTTCCCTCGGAATGACGCCTAATAGAACTACCACAAGATTGATTGTCCGGGTGAATTTCATACAGAATACCTCGTCAGATTAATTCATGGCAGACGTCATCATTCATTCATTCATTCAACGTAATTTCTTAACCTTTGGAAAATAGAGCGCTGGGCGGTTTTCGAGTAATTCCTCCTGGGAATAATTCAAGGTTAAACTATATGCAGAGGAAAAGAGCTGCGAGGCAGACAGAATTAAATTAATTTTTTATCCATGATAATAAATGTAATGTAAAAAGGATTGCAAACAATTTTTAAAATCCGGGGAAACCTTGATTGGTTCCGCGCGCAATTTCTGCAATCGATGAATTCTTCGTGTTTTTTTTGTTTGCTAAATCAGAAGCACGAAAGTCTTCCAAGCATTTCTTTAATCTTAAAAAATGTGTACAATTTTTCCAGCCTGCATTAAACATTTTTTATTTGCCAGGCTGCAACATATTTTATGGAATTTTGCTGATCATCAGGCACCCCACAAGGTAGGGGAACACACTGGACTAGATGTCACTTGCAATCGCAGTCACATTTTAGGGCTTATTTGAAAATTAATTTGGATCAGCTTGGGTTTCTTCTGTTTATACAGATCTCGCTTATCTGTGTTCAATCGTCAGAAGTGGATTAAGTCAGCTGCAAAAAAGAAACTATGAAATTATACTTTGACCTCTACCGTAAAAAAATACAGCTGAATATTCTGAAACCTGCTGCAGGATACGCCGGAAAACCCAGCTTTCTGAAGCAGAAGCAACAGTGAGGCGCAGAATTTCGACAGGAGAGCCACTCGCATAACTGGCATAAGAATTGATTTTGCAACTTGAAAACTGCTGTGCACATCCCTTTGGGCAACTGCACGGTCAAGCAAAATTCAGAATGATGAAGAAGAGGGTTATGCAAAATTCGTCATTCAAGTCGCTGTCGAAAGAGGTATTCGCAGCAATCGAGTGAGGGATTATGTAAAACTCGGATGAGAAACGCCCAGCAGCCCGGAAGAGTTTACTTTCCCAACGTATACTGCTCACATATAGCGAGAAGGCTAGTTAATCAGCAGAATGGGACAAGATGAACTAACAATCGCACCAGCAACAATGCAGCCAAAATGGTCATCCAAGTTAAGCAGTTTCTTTCTCCCCATGAATCACTTGACGGCAGGATTATTTTTCTTGGCTCGCTTCAAGGCTTCCTATATATATATGCATCACACATCTTGAGAAATGATCCCAACCCTCGAGGCATCTGGTTTCGCTTCATAAATTGGAATCGCCCGTCAAATTCGTCATAAATTTCCTTCGGTGCTATTTTTTACGCGGAAGAAAATAAATTTTAGGGTCGCAATTTCTCATCCCACTCGTTTGGAGCGAGGGAATACGGTAGTTTCGCTACATCTCAATAATTTCTATACTGTATACAAAGAAACCCTCGCTTAGAAAAATTGGGAAGGGGTCTTGATCTTTCTTCCCTCTGACTTGAATCTTCTGTGATCACGCATAAAAAGTTCTCACGATCGACTATTAAACTGAAAAATTAAGCTGAAAGCAAACTTGAAATACTTTATACAGTATTACTGTATATTGAATAGTCCTCAGTATATTGTACTGTGCTTTCCATCAGTTTGAAACCATAAATATTTGTTGAAGGACGACAGAAATTTAATTTGCTTCGCCAAACTTTAGTCAAATTAACCTTGATCTAGTTGATAAGTTGTGCCTATGATCAATTTATCAATGGTGCCTGTGATATTGGCTCAGTAAAAAGTTTTCCATGGACTTCATTGAAATAATTTTTCCGAAAAATTCTTCACAAATACGCATTAAATTATTTTTTATATTCACCTCATCCATCAAACTTCAGCGTATAGCGCTCTTTCATATCCCCGTAATTGACTTCAAATCCATTTTTATACAATTTAATCCTTCTATTGGCTTATTCATGGGAAGTTATATGGTTAACCACAAATATGACACAATATAAGATTAAGGGGATCATTTTTTCGTAACCAATAAAACAAAAACGTCAAATGATCTGAAATTATATCTCATCACTTGTCAGTTGAAGGGAATTCCTCTCTTTCCTTCCGTTCTTTGCTGACACCCAAATTTTCAAAACGATAATCGAAATGGTTTTACTTTCATTTTATCTATTCAAACCCCTGCTGTTGATTAATTGTCCGTAAAAATGCATTTACATTAAAAAATAGCCTTGTTTCTCAACCTCTCTTGTTCTTATTCCGAATGAATTATGCTCGTGCGAAGATAGATACAACGTATGATTTAGCCTTTCATGTCTTTGTAATTCACTGCTGGGCACCTTTCATAGTATTCATACTATACAGTACAGCATATTCAAGATCACTGATACACTGAATCAATAAAATAAAAAGCAACACTTCATCGCTTCACTATTTCAGAAGGCATGTCGATTAAAATTTTGATTAAATTCTTTATTGCGACGAATGTTTGGAAATAACTGTACTACTTCATTACATCTGGAGTTACGCATACAGCCCTTCGAAAAATACCGGTACTATTAATCTCGGAGTTCTTCCAGTACAGCAGTATCCGCAACAGCAATAATAATGTGATGCTCGTGCGGCTGAAGATTTCCCCTTCGTTTTTAAATATGTTCCCTCTCGAACAACAGCTAAAGAAATGTGTATGGCAATCTAGTATTGTGCAAACTTGCGATTTAGCCCATGCAAATCACGGACCTTCGACGTCATCAGCAAATAATATAAGAGACGAAGATGAGTCTCAAGGGCATCGCAAAAGGCGGAGGGATTCCGCTGGGAATGCGTCACAAATCACAGAAATAGATGAGCTCATTTTCGTGTTTTTCTTTTTGATATGAAAAAAAATAACATTCGGGTCATGGCTCCCACAGAACGTTAAAGGAAATAAAATCTCTCAATAGCACCGTGTCACGTGAGCAAATCCGCGTATAAGACGATCCTGCTGATGAGAACTTGCAATACTGTACCCAAGGCCGAGACGAGGAACGAATAAGCAAGCATTGATTCCGGTTGGTTCATTTTCTTTTAAGTTTATTCACTTTCTGAGGTTCTACATGAGAACCTCAGAAAATTAGCCGAATGTCATTCGCGACCATCATCGGCGGTTACGGTTACGAAGCGAGAGATATGCACTCCTTCGGGATGTACTCCTTGACCTGACCCGACCCGCAACGTGCTGCGTGTGAATCGGTGGCAAGCCTGGACACCTTCACGCGCTTTCTGAGTACCACTCTTTTCTGAATCAACCGCAGCTTCAACCCTTTTCTTCTGAAGTTCTCACTATACAGCTGCGATGCCGGTTCTCATCTCACTATCACGCACGACAAACGTACTGTATATAGGTTGCACGGAAGAAGAACGTTCAAAGGAATCGACAACTGGGGGGTTAATCAGCTTCACGCTATTGCCTCGTTCATCTTTCCCACTCACATTGTCATCATAAGGTATGACATCAGCACCGCGCAGGCCGAAGTGTCGGGTAGAAGAAATTTGTTGCATGGGCTGACGGGGCTCAACGTTTAGCACTTTTGCGATTGGGTTGTATTAACCAAGTGCTTTTATTAGGTCGTGGCTGAAGTTTCGATACACAGTTCATGAGTACGAACATCATAGTATGAGGATGTCCTTGCACCTTGTTGATTGATGCCGGTTCTGTAGCTTATTTATTGTGACGCGACAGGAAAAAATTCCATTATTAGTGTACGGTAACTAACATGAAAAGTAGCCAGGAAAATTATCGAATAACGAAGTTCTTCGCAACAGATTTTTTTTTAATCGCGCAGTAAAACCGGAGATTATGTCAAAATCTTGAGATGAAATAATGTAGAAAATTTAAAATTGGCGGTAGTTGGAAGTATGGAACCTTATTATTTTTTAAACAACGTGAATGAGTTTTTCAATATTTAGTGATGTCCTGCCGGCATCCAACTGAAAATTTTTTCAGCATCTCAAAACATTTCTCGTGTGGCCTCGTATATACAGTATACGTAACCTACAAATTGTGTTACCAGAAATTTATTAAAAACGTTGGTATTTAAATTTTTACATATGGTATGTATGTATAATCACGGAGAATATATTTTGTACCATAGTTCATGTATTTGTCATTTTTTGTTCTTATACTCGTAAATGTGCGTTATAATTTAACTGTAGAATATTTTCGTCTTGAAGGGCCTCAATTAACACTTATAATGTGGCCGCCGCCACTACTGTATATATGCTGGGTATACCATGAATTCTGTAGTGAATAATACTGCTGCTGCATGTTATGCTTTTTGCACCAACTGCTGCATAATGCTGGATACATGGATTGCAAGCAATGAAGCAACCATACTCGAAAGTGCAGATTGCTTCGAAATCAACATCAGAAACAACGCAGACACAAATACAGTATACTGTATTTGTATATAATTATTATGGGATCCCCTGTGGTGAACATAGCCTTCTTGGGGCAATGAAGCAATTCTCGCGTCACGCGCTGAACATCCCCACAGAAACTTTCTTGTCATCTCGAAGGCAACTTGCATTTATACCGTACTATTGCGCAAAAAGTGATTTCATGAATATTCAACGCCATGTCGCTTGTCAGTTGTCACACTGCGATCCGCGAGATTCCGCAACGGCCGGGGTTTCATTTACAACCGTATCTATTAAAGGCGTGCTTTGGATGAGTAAACAAGCTTGACTCACCTCGAAGCCAAAATAATCCAGCATTTCCGGTGTACTTCGACGTTTTCCTTTCCCAGCATGGGAGACTCGCTAAAAACTGTCCGCCCTGTTGATTCAACAAGCCGAATTCCTCGTCGCGGAAATATCCCGGTGTGCTGCTGCTGTATACGAATTTAGGGATGGAGCAGTGTGCATTGAATGAAGCGTTCGAGCCAAGCTTGTTTATCCGGTACTCGGAACGATTGAAACGGTGTCGGCTTCGGCAGTCAATCACTTTCCATGAGTTAACACAACAATGCACGAAATAATAAATCCGTACTTTCAAATACAAGTACTTTACAATAATATTAGAGAAGCATATACAGCATACGCGTGTGAAACTTACCTGCCCCGCCGAATCAATGTCTCGTCTTTTACGGTGTGGTTTTTAATAGAGGATCAAATTTTCCGCGGTCGCGGTTTTACCCTTTTTTCAGAAAATGGCGTTTTCAATTTGTATATATAAAGGCGCCTTGACGACGGCTGCAGTCGATCCGCACATTGACTTGGGCAGTAGGGTGATTTGAGAGGATCATTTGGAAAAATGCCCGCGCGACGAAACGCGAATATTGAACTGCACACTGAAAAAAATGCCGCAAGATGCATGAAAGTAAATCCCATGACAAAAATGGTAGAGCTGGAAGAGAGTGTGCCTTGAAAACGTAAAATTTAAATTTCGAATTCAAATTTCTTTTGCATTTGTTAGATACAACTTTTTAAAATTCGCATGATTTTGTCTCTAAAATTGAACCAGCAAGGGGATGTGGAATAGCAGTTCAGTTCGATTAAATTCATTCCATGCATCACAAGGAGACATTCAACCCCACTGCCTGGTCTGAAATAGAGCAAGTCCACTGCACAATGACATCATCTGTTCAGACACAGCAATGAAAAACTACTGCAATGTGTATAGGCACTTCAAAAGAATAACTAAGCGGATTTCTGCTGACAACTTCCCCTGGAGAGGAACTTACGGAAAGTATAGCCTAGAACAATTTTTCTTAATGGATTTATTTTTTAAATCCTCATGAAGAAAAATTAGATCAACTTGATTTACACGGAAGAACCTTGTTAAATTGGTTTCAGGTGAACTTAATTTTTGCCAATTTTTTTTACAAAAACCAGAGCAAAATTTAGTAATTAGAAATTATCAAAATATTTTATAAGGGAAATATTTTAAAAACATAATCGAATTGTTCACTAAAATTTAGAAGAAAATCCAAGTATAGATCCTGATGAAAAATAATTTCCGTTGAATTATCAATTAAAAAATAGCAAGCCAAATGAAGAGGACGGCGAAATGAGAAACAACTAAAAAAAAAACTTATTTCAGAATGCTGTTCTCTTTTCAAAATGAATTTAAACCCCCCAACGCGAGGTTTTTGGAAAATGCTTCTCTTTATTGTCACTGAAAAATACAACTTCTATACAATTCTATGAAATAATGGCTGAGTAAAATATAGTTTCATAGAAAGCTTCGAGATTTCCATTTGGATTTTGTATTTTTCAGGGCGTTGCAACCTGTAACTAGTCAAGTAAACTTGTATGAGAAAAGTTAGAGCTTCAAGGTCAACATGTTTTAAGCAAATGCATGCGCATTCTTGCCCAGGTACCGTACTATGAACACGTGACATCAACAAACATTTCCCTTATTATTTTGAAATGAGGCTCCTCATCGATAATTTTTTGCCAGATCCATCATACAACATTGACCAACTGACCATGCAGAGAGATGAAAATGATCGCCGAAGATTTGGTCGTGTTTTAATAGTTGCGATGGTGTTTTACGCATATGCTTCAATCCCGCAGGCAGAAAATGATTCACTGATGGGTTGCATTTTACATTATGCATAGCTGAGAGTGAATCACTAGCTGCCAAATATGAGTTGGACATTGACACAGACAAAGCAGTTGACAGGCACTAAACCGCAGAATTTATTCCCTGGGACAAGGCAAATTTCTGAGAAGTACTAAAGTTGCGAGAGATTTCGGTCAGCATTTTCTCAAAAGCAGGTGATGAATGATCTGTTTGAGAAAAAAATGATTGAATTGAATTCCTTTACAACATTTCCGTATAATTTTGAACTCGTCTCTTGCGAACATGGATGACGGTGTCAGGAAACTTCAGATGATAAAACCTAAAATAAAAACAATAAAAAGTCCGCCGTTGGACGTTTCATTAAACTTCTGCGACCCGCTTCAACAAGCGCTCCGAAAGTGCAAAAAACGATGCGGCCTACAAACGTTGACAGAAATTCAAAGTGAGTATAGCTGACACTCGATGACGTCAAAAAAACTTGCCTGATCACTCGAAGGTTCTGAAACAACAACCGGCTTTCCAGTATCACAGCTTTCTTGAATTTTCGGATCAAGTGGGATGGTCCCAAGAACTGGAACACCTGTAGGGGGCACATAAGTAAGTCAATTCATGAAACAGACGACGAAACCAAATGGATTCAAACAGAAGCACTGCATTTACTAATTACGAAGCTGGAAACAAATAAGAGTTGTACAGATGAATTAAAATTAAGACTGCAATACTGCTTCGTTATTGTCACAGTTTCGAGCGAGTGAAACATAACAGGAGAAACTAATTTTCAGAATAAACGCCTTTTAATAAAATGTTGGCCAATACAAAACAGTGTGTTGAATTTACAATATTAGTCCAGACTATGACAAAAAATGGGCACCATTCAACCGATGCGTGCCCACCAACTCATACATCAGCTTAATACTTCGACGACTGTATGCGCTAAAATGCAACCTGGAAATCCTTTTTTAAATTCAACAATCTTCTTTGCATAATTCTTCATATTGCTCGCGCGGTTGATTTCATCAAAGACATTCTGAGTGAATCTCCAATTTTAGTTCTTTGCTATATGGCATGTTATTAGAGAAGATGTTGCCTTTCAGGAATTGTTTTACTAGTTTTGTCCACGATTTGCGATACAATTGAGTTTTCGGTATTATAACGTGAAGCAAGTGACAGTGAGTCATGTTCAACAACAGACATATTTTCAAGTAAGAACGTCTGAAAAACTAGGGTGCTTCTCATTATTTCTTTGGTCTCACATTTGGGTAAGTAAGTGTCAGTGAGTTTCATGCTGTCTTCCACAATACCAACAAAAGTCGTCAATTCAATGAGAAAAGTACAGTATTTCTAAAAACTGTTCACCAAGTTCTTTCTCCAAAGTCCCTGCACCGCCAGATCCAAACACGCTCGTCATGGACCCACATTTCGTGCACTTAATCGCTCCCATATTCTCTATGATCCCCAGAACTGGGACGCCGACCTTAGAAAACATAACAGCTCCCTTGCGAGCATCCACGAGCGCTACTTTCTGTGGAGTAGTGACAATCACAACCCCTGCGAACAGAATCAGACCGTTTTTGCAACACCCAGCGAATTCGTTTTCCGACAAGAACGTGAAACAAACCAGTGACATCGATATTTTGTGTGATGGATAGCTGCGCATCTCCGGTTCCTGGCGGCATATCGATAAACAAGTAATCCAGCGGGCCCCAAGCAACTTCACGAAGAAGCTTCTGAATAGCTGACATTACCATGAGTCCTCTCCACACGACTGGTTGACTCATGTCCGTAAGGAACCCCATCGACATGCTGCACATTTGATTCGCTTACGTAAGAGGAACACTTAAAGGTTGTAAATAATGAATACACGCACAAAAAGTTCATATTCTAGGATTAAAATGCGGGGGACTCAAAATGACTACAGCTTTTGCTTAAAACCCCGATCACACAAGCGAACAACTTATTATTCCGGATAATCAGATAATGCACGAGAGAACTGATTAATGAACGAATGTAAATAAAAATGGAAATATCCCGCAAGAATGGTCTCTCACAATATCTAAATCCCATAATTTTCAACGTGCATCCGTCCAGCGCCCAAATACAGCACTGCTCTAGCAATAATAAAAAACACGACTAAATTCCTTTCGATGAAGAAAAAAAACATGAAAATGACCAGAGCGGCTTTGGTTCCTCTTGTTTAATTTGCAATTTAAAACATACTGCAATGCGTGGAATAACTGAATTATAAATAATCTTTCCATTATATCTTTACATTGTACAGTAATGAGTTTTTTGCATTGCCGCCCAAGGCTCCAAAATCAACAATTTTCTCAACAAAACGCCTGAATCGACTTACACGTATATGTTTTACTCGGTTGAGCGATGTCAGTTCAAATTCAATAAGGTTTGGTTATTTTTTATCCGGCTGGCGATTCTAGAGACATCTCCTGTACTCGTCATTTTGTAACACAAAACTCAGCTTTAAAAAGGGTAATCCTTCAACAATAAAAAATTAATGACGTGGGACACATGAACGATGATAACTTACCACTTCATGCCGTAATTTACTAAAGGCACCATCAGATTTTCTGCGAAAATTTGAACGGAGACGATTGGAAATTAATAACTGGAAAACGCTTCTGCAGCCTAATTCACTAACGTTTATCGATACGTGGTTGTCCCTCGAGATTCATCATTATTGGAATGGACGGACCATAAACATCGGCATCGAGGAGTCCGACGGTTTTTCCAGAAGACGCTGTTGCCAGCGCGAGATTAACTGCAAGTATTGAACATAAAGCGTCACTTTCTTCCGCTTTGCAGGGTTAGCGAGCAGACACGAACGAATGAAGTACTCGTAAAATATGCTGGGGGTAACGATCACTCAGGTACCTGCCACAGTACTCTTCCCAACACCTCCTTTCCCCGAAGCTATCAAAATTGTATTCGTCACGCCTGCAATTGGTAATCTTTTCGGCAACCCTCTTTTCATTCTAGCTTGAATCTCATCCTGTCCGGCTTTGCTTGCGAAATCTCTAACGCGCAAAAACGACGCGCGTCGGTGCTTCACAAAAATCCGAATGAGCATTTTCCAAGTGCTGTAACCTGTTGTTCGTCTCGAAGAGCAAAATCGGAAAATTATAAATCAATCGGACCTTACCTCGCAAGAAGCGATTTATATGCGCATGTTCACATAGCTCTTTCCGAAATTATAAAAGGAGCCGCATTCGGCATTCCGAGGCGAATTCGGTTGATAGAAATACCCAAACTTGCGTAGAAAAAAAATCACAGCACGACAATGAAAGGAAAAAAGCCCCTCGATTGGCGAATGATCGAAAACTATAGACCCCGATCAACAAACGATCTTTCGTTATGCAGTAGCTCAATAACTTGACACGCGAGACGCGCTAGCCATCAACTCGTCCGCATTACAGATTCTAAAAAAGAAAACCGACCATTAATCCGTAAAAAAAACAACACTCGTAATCTCCCCAATCCGCACACAAACACAGAAAAGCGAGCAACAAACGCGCGATGAACAAAATCTTTCGTACGTTAACGAATAACAAACTGACAATGATGTCCACATCCAACATCGCTGCGAATAGGTTGTAACCTTAGCTAGACAGGTACATCTATAAACGCTTCTGCCGGAATACTAGGCCGTAGTTTCAAAAAGGCTTGTCCAGCAACATCGAAATTCCATCCGTTTTCTTCGAGGCATCGCAATGCCCATTCAGGCTTCAGACGCGTTTGCTGTGAAAAGGCGGCGGCCATTTCCTTCATTTTGTCTTCCCCAAAAATTCTTGGGGGCACAATTTCTTGCGGGCCTTTGAAAACTAACTGCGGAGAGAAAAATAACGCATTCGAATAATTTCTGAATAATGGACGTATGATTGGATCGATGAATATTTTTGACTTCAAATGAAGGAAGAAGTAGAAAAAACCACAGAGCCCGCATTTCATCGAACAAGAAAAATGGGCGGAGGAGGCATCACTTGCTATTCAAATTCAACTCACATTTTCCACTGCGTTCCTCGCCACTCCAACGTAAAATGAATCATTAGTAATTGTGTGACCGTTATTTTCGGGTACCAGGACAAACGTTCGCGAAAAATGACACAAAAGGCTGTCTTGATCCCGCAGAAATCCGGTCACTTCTATCACGATTATTTTTTCCTGAAAAAAAAGGAAAGTTAGTCTTTTTACCGTGCAACACGCTCGGTCCCAGCTTACCGAGGCAAACGTTACATCGATCAACATTGTCGATAAATCGTGGTTCACTTTCATGAGGGTTTCCAGAACAGCGATGATCGCGAATTTTCCTTTGTAAATCTTTTCCGTCAGTTGAGCTTGAGAAAGAAAAATATTTGCATCATTACGGGAAAAAAATGTGTATGCTAACGACTCACAGTCTGAGCTATCCAGCTTCAAATTCCGGCAATTTTGGAACAGGATTCCCCGTTTTCTGCTGAGGAAGACAAAAATGAAAAATATTAACAAATGGGAATATAAGATTGCGTAATACAAAATCCAACTTGATTATGAGTATTTTTGGATGATCAAATCATTGAATTATCTTTCCACCGGAAAATGCAGGCAGCTCTCAAGCGAACTGTGGGAACCTCACGCATAATTCCGGTATACCACCACGAAGCTCAACCTCATATTCAACGGATAAAAATCAGCGCACAACATTAGATTCTCAAATGGTTATCAGAATTGAATGTAGAATTCTTCGAGATTGCAGTAAATTTGTTATTACAGAAAATAATAGTTCAGTTCTTGGGCAGACTTCAACAAGACTTGAAAAATTCATAATTCTATCTTGTTCACGAAGTTTTGCCATTTCAATCATTCTACTTTTCTTCCTGCTGCATTTATTTCATAGTAAAATCTGCTGGGAGACCAGCAACGCATTTTTTGTGCTTTACTACTGTACCAAAATTTTAAAAGGAATCGGGGACGGCACAACCCTCAATACGAATTAAACATTATACCCACACTGATGAATACGAGACGCTTGAACTCCAGCATATACTGTACTAGGATTTTCGCCTGCATTGAAAACAAAGGAATAGCATACGACTCACTTCGGCAGTATTGATGACATAGTTAATACTGCATGATCATTGTAAGCTGGAAGCAGATCTCCACGATTGCCGTGATCGAAAATCTTGTAATATTGGGAAATAAAATTTAATACGACATCACGATAGCCCGGCGGGCAAATTCCCGGTAGAGTTTGCGCTACTGGCTTTTCAATCTCAACGTCAAAACGGGCTCTTCGAGGCAGATCCCTTCCGTCCTGATGAACAATTTCCAAAATCAAAATCAAGCCCTTTCATCAGTAAATTATCTTATTCTCACCAATTTCTCCAAATCCGGAAATATTTCCCGCAGATATCTGAAATGCAAGGGAAACAGCCGACGTTGCGTCCGCATTCCGGCCCATCGTCGGTCAACCGATCAAACCAAGTAGAAAAGAAGTGAAAATACCCGCATCCGAAAAAAACAAACTCGAACGTAGGCTTTTATCATTCAGGGAACAACTACGTCAAGAATGCGTAATATTTTTCTTCGCGTTCTTAAAGACGACAGAAAATCCTTCGAGATGAAGCATGATGTAATAATGATCCTGAAAGATTTCAACACCGACGTTCCCAATGCCCAACTAATTGACGGGCTCGTATGATAAAAAAAAAATCCCTAAATCACACGCGAAACTGAGACTGCGCGATTCTAAATAAAATCAAGCATGGAATCAAGCACCATTTCAAACCAACGCGCGGAAAACGACAACCGCCGGGAATTTCGAATAGGAAAATATTGCAATCAAGATTCGTAACCGGATCATAATGCGGAACAGGAAGAAAAGAAAAAGATAAAGGCGTTTCAAGAAGAAATGGAGGAAAAAATTTGCGTTCGGCGCTCGTTGACCTGCCCTTTCTTTGGGAGCGCTTTTTATGCTTCATGTAGCTCATTCATACAAGCAACATGATCGTTCAGTCAGACACAGGTCAAACCCATCGCCGCTCAATTCCATCATACGATGAAATTTGACATCGATCTCACATAAAGCGAGGTTTTCGTTCTCAGCGAACTCGTCGAAGAACGTTCATGAATAATCACGAGCGAATGGGTACATATGACCTTTCTCGTGTGACTTGAAATCCATTCCCCTCGGCTAGGTTCAACGATTTTTCAAAGCAGCGAACAAATGAGATGGCTTCTAAAAGCAATGAAGAGAAACGTGCGAGATAGATAAATGAATATGAGAAAGGAAAAAGAGGAGGAATAAAGAATACTCGGGAAAAATATAATTAAGATAACAATAAAGGATAAAACCAAATAAACGAATGAAGGGTTATAAAAAACCGGTAGCGCGTTTCCGCTCACAAGAACGCATTTTTGAACGAAAAAAAATATTTCGCGTGTCATAACAAGTATCCTGACCACCCACCCGATCGACATCTCGGTTCCTTTCTTCCATGCCTTCGTAGCAGCATAGAAAAAAACACGCGTTAAAATACAGAAAAAAATAATAAAATAAACGCATGGGGTGTCCCATGGGATACATAGCCGTATTTTTAAAATCTTCCAGGATCACGATGCAATATCTAAATTCGATTCCGGTGTTCCAACATGCAAGAATTAAAATTGCAGAGAAGGTCCTTGACAACATCGTTCGCACGCTTTTCAGCCAAATTCTAGGAAGTGAAGAACAGAAGAGTTATGCAAAAAGAGAACAAACCTCAAATACTTTGGATACGCCGGCGATTCTGATGATGCGTAGCAAGGATTGCCCTCCAAGTTTAATTCGACAATTTTCCAACCTTTCAATGGATGTAACTTTGCTAAGTGGCTGAGCTGAAAGAAAAGAATAGAAGGATGTGTTATGAAACTGAAGCGGTCAAGAGAACAGGAAATCAGAACGAACGTGGTAATCCGAACGCGACCATGCGATATTTCTTAAATGAATTTCACAATTCGGCTTTTCAGTTTTTAACGCGAAAGAACCAGCGAAATCGGAAGCCATTTACATTGAGAAATTTAAAACATGAGCCCTAAACTTTCAGAGGAAAGGCACTGGGTTGAACCAAGTGATCAGATCTTAAGTTGTAAACCCATACATCCAAGCGAACTCACAGCATTGTTTCGGACAGCCAGCCTTTTCAAATTAGGCAGCGAATCTCGAAAACGGCACATCTTGTCAGGATAAAGGCCGCGGTTGTTCGAAAGATCCAGTGCTTCCGTTTCGGGAATGTAATTTTTTATAACATCCGTCACAGCCTTCAGAACGTTGTCTCGTCTGATCAACACAAGGATACCGAACTCCTTGAAGGCTACAAGTGTTTTAAAATACCACTGGTATATTCTTTGCTATTTCAAAAAGGATAAGCATTAGTCACTATAAATTTACCCTTATCTTCGTCGAAGGACGAAAGATTTAGAAATTTTGAAGGTACGTCGTATCTGGAACTCATGGTCGCTGCCAATAATTCCAGTGTTTCTGGATCCAAAACAACATCCGGCAGGCTACCGACGAATACCCGCAAACTTATCTGCAATAAACGAAGACTGAGTTGCCTTGGCTTTCTGTAGAGCAATCTATGACGCGTACCGATCTCGAATCATGCATCAGCAAGGTTGGATTTTTCCGCATCGCATCCATCGCAAGTTTCTCATTGGTATAGAATGACGACGAATCATCCGAATTTTCTCGATACTGTAATAAAGAAGTCACTGCATAAACCAGAATGCGCACGAAGAGGAAGCATCTCATTTATGAAAAAACAAGAGATAAATACTGTAAAACCCTTTATCGGTGGAGCGAAATCGAAATGAAGAAAATTCGTTCACAGGCTCAAGATAGAACATGCATCCAATGCCAACTCAGCAAATTTCATTCTTTCTGAATAACAGTGTCAAGGACAGACGGAATTTTTATTTACACAAGGGAAAAATTTCATGAGCTCTTACGTTGTACACGGTACCAAGAGACGGGGCGATATTCCGGATTGCATTCACCACAGCTATTTTCCCGTAATCCTTCCCATTATTCACCTATTGAGCAACACGACATTAGCTTCACGTTTCAAAATAAAACTTGCTTCGGCACTTACTTGAACTTTGCACCAAATTTCACGGAAAGACGATACCAGGCCACCACGATTAAGAGAAGCTCGACCAGTGCGACTCCTGAAGTTTCCCCTTGGGCGTCGTCTAAACGGAAGATTTCATTTTTCGTTTTAACAGCGATAGCGTTTAAGAATACAAACTCACCCTGCGAATCTCCCACTCGTTCCATTGGTATCACGATCCATAGCAACATCACTTTCTAGGAGATGTTCGGGGAGATTATGGATGGTATGCGCTCGGTTTCTCCCAGGCTTGAAAACACTTCTGCGAACGCCTCGGATATTCCAATTGCCGCTTCTCACATCTCGGTTGTCATGCTCTGAAATAATAAAATATGTAGTTCTCATGCCCATAGGATGAACTAACTTAGGAAAGAGAACTTACCATTGTAATCCCTCCCAGCACCTCTTCCGCGCCGCGAATAACCGCGGTGACCTCGATCACCACCTCCCATTTAGCACAATTGTTCACTAACTCGAGAAACAACCTTTCAAAAGCAAAGTAGCGCGTCCATGAATTAAAACGTCAAAGAACGGCTCACAAATAAATGAACGCTGAATACGAAAAGCAATCGCTCACACTTTTAAGAATACCTTTTCTTTCACAGCATCAAATCCCAAAAAAATTTTGAACCGTCGGAATACATTTTTCGTTCGTCCATCGAATAATCAATAAAAACAGGGATAAAAACGCTTCAGTTTGTCGCAGTTTCTACTGCAGTAGTACCCCACAAACCAGGTGCGAAGCAGAGAAACGCGTATATGTTCATGGGCAAATAAAAACCGAAAATATAGAACGACTAATTCAAAAAACAAAGATGATTCAGAACAACAATTTGCATGGCCTACGGACAAAAAAGAACAAAGATGATGCCAATTCTTTTTTAAATCTCAGCAAAAATAGCTCATCACCCCAAAACAAAATGCTCAAACATTTTAAGCTACAACCAGGAAATAGCCACGCGTTGACACGGTAGTAGATAGCTAGTAAGAGTAAGCTTCTCGAAAAAAGCCGTGGAGGAACTTAAACTGATTTTCATTCCTTTGAGGATCTCAATTTAATTACATGAGATTTCGATGAACGATTTTTCCGTAAATTACACTGAATATAACAACGGGGTGCAGATGAAGGACAATTAATTCACAAATAATCGCAGACTCGCTGAGTTAATCCATTTACGGAATATAACCGAATAGTAAAGCACGAACACCAACGAATACCCGGTTCTTGAATATCACTTTCCCTTTAGAAAATCACATCTAATAAGTAATTAACGAAAAAACTGGCGCGTCGATTTTCGCTCGTCCCCCGAGATCCTTCAATTCCACAATCGTTAGACATGATATCACATTTGCGCCAAGCTTCTTAGCCAGCTTGCATGTAGCGGATAGAGTCCCTGTGCGAAAAGAAATGGGCCTAGTAGCAAACTTGAACAATATACATTCGCCATACCTCCAGTTGCGATCAAGTCGTCCAGTACGACAACGTTCTGCCCTGGTTTAAAACTGTCCACCTGTACTTCGATAGAATCCTAACATTTGAAAATTAAGAGCAGTGTATTTCAGAACTTAATTCATGAAAAAAAAAATTCCCACTAAGCTCACCTGTCCATATTCCAAATCATAGGATTCACACGCTGTTCTACCAGGCAGTTTGCCCACTTTCCGCACGGGAGCAAATCCGATTCCCAACTTGTATGCTATCAATGGTGCAAGCAAAAATCCTCGGGATTCAACGCCAAGAATAACATCTGGACGAGAACCACGGGACACTATATCGACACATGCGTCGACTAATGACTGCAGAGCTTGGGGATCCGAAAACATCGGAAACACATCACTGCAAAATTCACGAATGCATATACAATTGTAAATCAATTTCACGCATCTCCCTACCGAAACGTGATCCCAGGTTTCGGGAAATCAGGATACTCCTTCACAAACTTCATAAGCTCTGAATGATTAGACATATTCCGCCGAATGTTTATGTAGTATTCTCACCCTTCACAGTAAAGCCTGAAAAATTGAGGAGAATCATTCGAAATTCGCTATCAAAAGTGTTACCTACTTCAGCGTGGAGATTCATAATACATTTGAAATCGCAGGAGGCAAAAAGGACGTTTGTCCACGCAATTTATAGCGAACTATATATGTATTTCCGTTTACCAGAGAATGACAACAGAATCCGGTGAAAAATTCTTATTCCTCAACCAACGTCGAATAAACTTGAAGAGTTCGATCGATGGGATCAGCCATGTTTCCCACGGAATCGGGTAACTAGCAAGGAAGAGGTCTGTACACATTCACTTAATAAACCAAACCATCACCGACCTGATAGACATCTCAAAGATCATTTGTATCCTTGCAAGGTGAGGCAACCCAATTTATCACTGCTGCAAAATGGATTTTTCCTTTGATTACATGATTGAAAAAATAATCCTTGAGACTGAATAAGTGAGGCACAGTAACATTCAAAGAAAATCTTCATGCAATAAAAGAGCAAAACCATTATGCTTTGAATTCAGAAAAATCACTCAGAACACACACACCATCTCAACCGCGCTAAAGTGAAATCCGTACACTGGGCGAAGAAAAGAAAGTAAGATGACGCTGTAAGACATCCTCCGCGGCATAGCCTTCCCGAGCTTAGAGCACGAATTGAGAAACCCTCCCACAGTTCATTTGGAATTGATCCGGCACACACGTCAATATCCATATCGATCCTGAAAACACAGTTTTTAATGAACGCTTGCTCACGAAAAGCAGCAATAGCCCCATGAATTCGCATTTACGCAACCCACACGTGAGGACACCGCAATAATATGCCTACAACCGTATCACCAGCCACAAGAAATACAGTACTGTAATAAGAAACCCCACGCTTCACACATTAATTACCCTCGTCGAATAGCATTTCCCGGTAGTTGACATGCCATCACTTCCTCAGATGCTGCAGTAAAACAGACACGGCAATGATTTTTTTTATAGAAACTGTTGAACAAAACTGATGCCAGAAATTTGGCCCAGATTATCACCAAGAATGCCTTCTTTTTTTTTTAACTGTGTTTCCGCCAAATCATGCAAAAATCTCTTCAGAACTCTAAAACATGCTTATAAATTTTTCAAGTGAATTATAACAGAAAGTAACCGACCTGAATTTGCTGCATGACACCAGACGCCAAATTGGAAAGTTTCCCGGCAACTTTGGTAACTCCTTGGCGAACGCTTTCTTTGACGTCGTCTAAATCTGGGGCATTCATATTCATACTCGATGCATACCCTCGACTACCAGACGGTTGGGATTCTCTCCCGAAGTAAGCATCGCTCGAAATGGCCGATGATCCTTCAAATCGAGCAAGATTCATCCGTTCTTCATACTTCAAGAGGGGGGAAAACGAATTTGTAAATTTTCATAACAAAGAGAAGGAATCATGTACTCACAGATGGATCTTTTTCTCCGAAGAACTGCTCGGAAGAAATAGATTTCGCATTAGCGAACTTCTTCAACGTGTCTTCAGTCGACACGGCAGTGGAAGGATTCGAAACTCTTGGGGACGGCGCAGAAGAGTCGGTATACCCGGAAGAAATTTTCATCGCACCCGTGCGGGCTTCTAAATCCTTTTCCCAACTGGGCTTAGAAGTTTTCTTTTTGTCCCATGGATCATCCTCGCCCAGTTGCTCCGCGAAAAATGACGACGACCCCCGGGATTTTGACTTCAAGCTAGTGCCCAAATCCTCAAAATCGTCATCATCGCTTTCCACTGCGAAGAAGTCTTTGGAATGATTCGTCGATTTTTTGGCTGAAGCTCCAATCGGTTTTTGCTCGATTGTCTTTAGATCAGAAAACACTGAATGGCTAACTCCTGACGACGACGAGCCATAGCCTCCAAATCCCATTCCCAGGCGTTCCGCTTGCTCTGCTTTCTGAGGATCCAGCGTAATTCTGGCGCGATCCTGCTCCTTGCTTAGCGTTTCGTAAGCCAATTTCATTGATGCTAGCTGAAATTCATCATCGCCGAAATGAAAAAGTAAAAAAATTATAAAACAAGAACAATTCTCACACGCATACCTCCTCTCTCTTTGCGGCCGCGTCTTCCACGGTCGACTCTTTCACGACTTCGTTCTTCTTAGACTTGGATTCAAACATGATCTGATCTGCTAGTTCTGCTTCCTTCTCGACGGCGGCGAAATCCGTATGAACTTTTTGCGCACCCATCGCACCTCTTTTGCCGCCCAACTTAGAAGAATTTCGCTCAATTAAATTGAATAGAGACAAGAAATACTTATAAAAATATAAATACCCCAGTTTTTTTCGCAGCAGGCTTTCTCGCACCGATTGTCGATTTCTTTAACGGTACCGCCTTAGACGACGAAGTCGAAAAAATTGCATCGACATTAGGACCAGTCATATTTTCTTCCGCCGACTGAGTCTGACGAACAGAAACCGAATCGGATCCAGGCGACCCAAAGAAAGCGTCTTGATCCTGCTCCTCTGCAACTGACGAACCGTTCGTGTGTTCTTCGAAGAAATCGATTTGTTTCTCCTTGACTTCCGGAGAGAGCGCTTCAGAATTTACACTTGAACCTCCGATATGAAGCTGTTTACGAAAACACTTACTCCGACGGGATTCAAAAATATTTTTAAGAATGCACTCACCACCGTCCCGTGAATGCGCATCGCCTGAACGGCTTGATTATGTAGCTTTTCTCGATAAAGCTGCGCAGCTCTCGAGTTATATTTCTGCTGAGCATCGGTGGTTCTACAGTTGTGCTGAATGAAAAAGTTCTCCTGAAAGAAAAAGACAGAGACGGCCAAACTCAGTCTCTTTCTTCGTAGGACGAAATAAATCGAGAGCCAATCAACTGACGGCGTTCGAATTTCCGCCAAGCTGCATGTGTCTGATTTGCACCCAAGACCAATTCGTATCTAACTGCGTAGATCGAACGAACGAGAGATGAACTCCAAGGGAGCGGTGTACAGCAGAGCAATCCATGCAGATGAACACTCCATACGTGACACTTGACCAAGTAGGATTTTTCGCATTGCAGTCAAAACAAACCTATCAATAAATTAATTTGATTATTCCACATCAAGTTCCACAGCCACTCACAGACACTTGCCTTATTCGCACTTATGGATTTCAGTCGCTTGAAAACTTGTTGAATTTCAAGTTTCGTCGGACCTTCGTCACTCATTTTGAGATTTGAATCGACCTGATAGATGCAAAACGTTAAAAGATTAATATCACTCTACGAATCACTTCAAAACAAGCGATGAAAATTTCGTAACTTTCAGTCTTCCACTACTATCACATTTCCGGTCCTGGACGACTTAATCAAACAAGAAATCGCTCTTCGGACTAAGCGAAGTGCATTGCGTTACGTCAGCATCAGCTATGCAGTTGCTACAAGTCAGAAGACATAGGTTCATACAATGGATGAACAATGAATGTAGCCATTAACAACGATAGACATTTATAGTCAGCAAATGACAGGTGTGAAAATCTAGAATGAACTTTAGTCACCTTCAAGATCAAAAGTACAGAGAGCAGTTATAAAAGAGTACCATACTCTGCTAAATACTTTCTAATGAAAATATCTTGCTCTAATCCCAATCCAGGCAAAAATGTCTTTAGCTAAAGTTGTAGATAGCAAAGCTCATACAGTATATTGTACATCCCAGTACAGTACATACAAAAGACTGTCAACCTCTCATTTATTAACCCCCCCCCCCCCCTCCCACAAATGTCCCTGAAACAAATCTCCCACCATCATGGTCATAAGGTAAACTCCAATTTAGTACTGTACTATAAAAAATGTCCTGTCCCAAATAAAATTATGCCAAAATAAGAAAAATTAAGGCATATTTCTAGGGATATAATTAGGTTATTACTGAGAAGCACATGCCAATGCTCACTTACTCAGGATATTTTTTTAAATTCATGTCTGAATTTACATTTACTGTACAATTGAACCTTGCTAAGTTCAATACCTCCCTAACTCAAAACTTTTTTCAAGTCCCTGTCTGCATTCCCACAGAAACAATGCATTAAAATACTCTCCAACTCAGAATTTTTCTCTCAAACCTCTGTACAGTAATTTACTGAGGTCTTTTAGTCATAATTACCTTGAAATATGAAAATCAACACAACAAATTATTTTATGCATTTTTAAATTAAGTGAAAGACTAATTGAACAAATGAACCCCTGCATCCAGGTTCAGCAATCTTTGAACTCACTAAGTAGCAAGATTAGGCCCAGAATAGCCTAATCTACAATTTCCCATTTTCCTTGCAGCCAACAAATTTTTCCTTTACTCAAAACCTCCCTGAGTCAAATTTTTTTCCAGGTCCCTAGAAATTTGACTCGGAGAGGTTCAACTGTAATTGGGTGGTTTTATTTGAATCCATGTGTCTTAGCTGGGCTGAGAAAGTAGATCAGGTATAGAACAATATTTATAAGCTGGGATGTTGGATAGAGGAACTATACTGTATAGGAACAACTTCCTATAAATACAGCACTGTAGTTATGAAAAATATTCAGATTTGCACCATTGAAGCTGAAATTCAAATGTTTTCACCAAGTAAAAACAGGAAGGGGAGGGGGGGGGGATTTATCCTTGGTGGTGCCTTGCAACTACCAGCATCTGCCCTAGACCCCTCGCATTCCAAGTCCTCTGCATATGCTCGGAGTTCTGTTTCAGATAACAGAACCTTGGAGAACACAGTAAACATCTAAAAATATTTGTTCATGACATCAGACACCAGATGGTACAAACCAATTCGTATATTTCCAAAATCCAGATTTCAGAAGGTCCACGCACTGGTGGAATCGAGAAACTCAACAGGGCATTACGCTTAATTTTCGTTTTTGAAAGAAAAAATGGTAAGCCCATTTCATTTCGGAAAGTTCAGCACGGGGGCGACCTCATTCACAAAAAAATCATTCCAACAAACATAATACGGATTTCAAGGGTTGAATTGGTCCGACAATCCGAGAAACCTCAAAAGAAGAGGAGTTTGATGGGGGGGGGGGGGGGGAATCGAATACACCACAATACACTTATAAAAGATTAGGATCCATATTAACGGTTATTTGTTCTCGAAGACGGTCAGCACTGGGGGCAACATAGAACTGGCTCGAGTCAATCTCGGGGACACGGACGAGATTCTGATTTCCGAACTCCTGCACCGGATTGTGACGACGATACACGTGATCTTCGAATGCTTCGAAAGAAGGAAAGATTTCTCCCGGAACTTGCGGACAAAACCGACAGCAGTAGGTCACGATAATTTTCGTCAGCCGAATATTATGAACAGAAGAAATGTGTTGTAGCAATCCTTGCTCGATAAACTGAAATATTAAATAGTTGAATAAATAGCACATAAAACATTAATGCAGTCCTGCCTACCTTGCTGCAGCGAGGACACCGACCATTATCACGGAACGACAAAGCTAGATCAATCATTTCTTGTGTGATGAAACCATGTATGCCCAAGTTGTGTCGCTCCAAACCCACATCGGTGAAGAAACGATTCTTACACACAGTACATTCAATAGGCGGTAAAGCACGGCCTCGCACGAAGTCTTCGTAAATAGGTATTTGATGTCCAATTCGTATGTGGGTTGCCAGCTGCATCAGACTCTATTAAAAAATAAACATTCTCATAAGACTCCATCGCTAAATAGGACGAGAAATCAACAATCTGGCCCCCCTATCCGCCAACCATTCTAAACTCTAGAAGCGTAAAAAGTACACATACCGTGAAGACTGTATCACAGATCTCGCAGCCCACAGAAGACGTTAGCGCATAGGTTCCTGAAGCCTGTTTGAAGAATCTTGACCGAACAATTCCTAGTGGGAGCATACGAACAGCCGTTGGACGTGGACTTGGTGGAGCATTCACAGGAGTCAGCGGTCGCTGAGGTCGTACGATGTGCGAGGGAACCCTCAACACAAATGAAGTTGGCTGATGAGAAAAAAAGGATTTCATACAATTGTTTTAATGAATTCAAAAGCAAGCTTTAACAAGAGTTCACTGCAGAAATCTCCCTGGTTTTTCATTTTCAGTTAATGCTCGTAGTAATGAATTTTCCCGACTCGCTGTTTCATTTGCGGAGTTAAGCAAAATTTTTTTTAATGGATCCATCATCCATCAATGAAGTATAAAAATCTTCAAAGATAAGTGTAAACCATACAAATTTCTGCAGTGAACTTTTGTCCAAGCCCATATAATATACTGTATATGCATTCCAATTCCCAATAACGTTCACAAGCTCAAAATTCTTCAGCAAACTACAGTACAACAGTTCCTGGGGTGATGGACTACATTTTTATATGATATATATATATATATATAATATACTGTAATATGATGAGGGCACATTTTTCTAAGCAGCCTTAGAAGGGGTTTCCATGTTTATAAGCTTATAATTATGCCTTTGACAACCGGATGTCTTAGACAAGTTTAAGATACCGAAGATACCGTAACTTCAGCGTTTTCTCTCTACACAACTCGGGTCATGGATAAAAAGGCTGAAAAAATCATCGAGGTGTAAAAAGAAAACGGCGAGACGGTAAACGAGAACTTGTAAGTGTCGTTTGAAGCAGCCAGAATTGAAGAAAGGTAATTCTCATCATGCAAAAAGACAATCGGGAACCCGAACGCGCCTCGAAACTGTTCAACTACTCTACGAAATCCCCCCAAGAAACGTACTTGTCGCACGACTGACGAAGCTCTCGGTCTTGACTGTCGAACTCCTGACGATTGCATGGCTTGTGTATTTCGGCCAGGAACAACAGCATTGTTCTGGCTTTTCTGGTCAACAGTGGGAATAAAACATAAGAAATGGCCAGCGTTTCCAGAACTATTCATAGCTTTGGTTGCAAATGCTTGGGTAGCAAGATTTTTCCCAGGGAAATCTTTGCAAATGGCAACTCGGCAGTTACTTCTAGCAGCATTCGCGCGAAATGCTTTCTGGCAATTTTCCACGTGCTTCTTGAAGTTGTTCGTCAAGCGACGGTCTTCATAAAAACAAAATGCACATTGATACGGAAAAGGCGGTTCTTCAAATCTAACGCGAGATCCATGCGTGCTCTTCACATGAGATATGAACGTCGCTCTGCACGAGGCAGTGTAGTTACAAAAGTTACACCTGTCTATCTTCGTATCTCCGCGAATCTTATGCGGAACTTCGAGGTGAGCCATTAAGTTTGTCTTGAACGCCGATACAAAATTGCATCGCGGACAGTAATACTTTCTCTTCTCCCGGTAGGATTTGTTCTTCAACGAACGTTTGGTGACATCTTCTTTCATAATACTTAAAACTTCTTTCGCAGCTTTCGGGACCTCTGCTTCGCCGTAACGATCTACCAGTCTAAGCTCACGCTTGAAGTTAGATCTGGACACATGTTCACTAACTAAACTCCAACCAATGTCAAAAAGAAAAGAGTTGATTGGCGTATCCTCCCAAAAAGTTTCTTCGGGTTTTGGAGTGGATGCTGCGGAATCTTCTTTTTCCTTTTTATTAGATTTTCGCGACTTCGACTTTTTGCCTCCGTCTGATGTAGAACTATCGGAGTCGGAGGATTCCGAATCGGAACCGTCCCAGTCAGCATCTTTAATCTTTTTGGGAATAGGATGAAGAGCTATATTTGCGGGATGCTCAGCGTCCACATCGTCAATGTTTTCCTCACACATTTTTTCTTCAGATTCTTTCGTTTCCTCAGCCCGCAACTTGCGATATTTAGAGACAACTGGGTCATCGATATTCCGGCAATAAACGAATGGCACCACGAACGACGCAGACTCGATCACGTGATCATTCTTCGTCAATGTGGAAGCTGGTTCAACAAAAAACCTATTCGTTTCTCCGTAAGAACAGAAGATTAAACTCCGTGACGATGCGATGTCACATTTCAGAGTTTCAGCCTCTTTTTCAAGTGAGGCATCAGAAGTTGTCGTAGCCGCGTTTTGGGAAGCTTTTTCCAAGCGTTGCTTCTTCCTGTCGACACTTCCATCGTCAGAATTTTCCGTCGGAACCGGCCGCTTATTTGACAGGGTGCCACGAAGCAAAGAATCAAGCTGCACTATCTTGACTGATCCAGAGGCTTCTTTTACTGACGACTCGACAGAAAGGATTTGAATGTCGGATTCGTCATCGCCATTGATTGCGGAAACGTGCGAAGAAACCACAGCTTCTGTGTTCGGAGCTGCCGTCCTTTCGTCAGTGTCTGACACTTCAGAATCAGAATCAAGCGTTACGACAGTGGGGTTATTGGACTTCCGCGAATCGTCAGGAATGGCTTCTTTCGCGGGGGACTCCAAATTTACTTCGGTCGTCAGTAAAATTTCCGCTTCAGGAGGTTTCCCGTCTGTCTGAGTCGATATTAAAATTTCGATTTCTTGTGGTTTGCCATCTGTTCCAGTCATCAGAGAAATTTCCGCTTCCAGTGGATTAACCCCAACTGCATTCGTTGAAGAAATGTCTACTTCCAAAGGTTTCCCGACGTCTGGCTCATCTAAATCAGGAATAGATGCGACGTTTTCACTTGAACCCGGATCTTCATATCCAGAAGTGTTGTCGATGACCGCACATTTAGGATCTGTAACTGATTCCTGACTTGCACCGGCGGAGGAATCCTCTTGCGAAGTGGTTTCAATGGGAGATGGGATTTGGTTTATGGGAGGAGAGGTTTCTTCGGAGTTTGATACAGGGTCAGATGATTTCAATGCAATAGCATCCTCTTTCGTACAAGTTTCTGACTCAATATCATTTCTAGAAATATCGCTTCGTTCATGGAATTCTGTCATCACAACATCCCTGGCACCGGCTTCCTGGGAAACAATGCCTTCTCCATCTTCAACACGGCTCTGTATAGCAGGGTTAGATTCTTCTGTCACAACGGTATCGACTTCCATGGCTTCTTCTGAAGACAAGCTGTCTCTGAAAGAAGAGGAATTCCAATCCTCGATATCGTTTACAGATGAAAAAGCGGCTCCTTCGCTACATTCCAACGGCTCTGATTCGGCACTAACGCCGGCATTTTCAAGCATTCTTTCTGCCATGAATCCATTTTCCACTCCATATGAGCGAACTTCAGCAATGCTTCCTTGAGCATGTTCCACAGGAATGACAAATGGCGCATTTCCTTCCAAGATTTCATGATCTGCATTTAAAAGAAGAATCGTACAACGATGTCATGATGGAATACTTTAATGAATGAAAAAAAAAAAACAGTGCTCTCGATTTCCACGTTCCACCGTTTCATGGTAAAGGAATAATCCATTTAAAACTGCACCTTTTTCAATATGATCATTATACATCTTCGAAAAGTAAGAGGTGAACTCATTCAACATGCAATAAAACTACCTTATCTTACAAGGCATTCAGTTTTCGCCGATGATGATATCCGGCCGAAAGCATGCACATTTTACGCACCAATTTAGACTGCTAGGTATGAGGGATGGTGCAAGATTCTGTTCAGCACATTGAAATGAAGTTATTCCTGTATCCAGGAGCAAATCAGAAGTACTAAATCTGAAATGGGACCGCTAAAAAGGCCTGAAGCAAGCATACGTTGATTTGACCACAATTTTCTTCAACTTCCGCCGCGATTTGGGTACCTTTTCGCTCAAGAATAAGCAGATCAAGCAATCTAAGAAACGGTTTCAAATTTTAAAAAAAGCGAAGATTCCAAAAGTTTCACATCGGAATACGATTGCTCGATCTGAGACATCATCACGGAAGATTTTTCGATCGTATAATTAGTTGGTGGAACTTCAGACTTGTCGAAACATGTCCGTGAGGCAGACCAACATAATCCTCCTCAAAGTAAGGGTCTAAAAAACGAAGATGTCTTCGCAATACAGAATGTAATATGTCACCTCAACAAGTCAACCTCCACCGATTCAACAAAAGAAACATAGAACTGAAGAAGCAGGAACCAACTCTCGCACCTGCGAAAAAAAAACGCAATACGGAAAGTTTAAAACAATTACCCGCTGATTTTTGAAGCATGCTCGGCAAGTGCACGCTTTCGATTTCTGCGGAACAAACAGGAATACCTCGCACGACTTCATCTGCAAAAAACGTAAAGTGAAAGTAAACAATAATTCCAAAAGATTACAAATCAGCAATGTAACTGATAAACCAAATTACAAGCCACCATCACGAGTCATGCAGACGATCACCGCATGTTAGTAATGCAACAAATTTTTTTCCCCCATTTTCTTGAAAACTTGCCGTCTTTCATAACGTAAGAGGAGCTCGGGTCATCAAAAGCATCAGGTGTGGAAATGCCAGGAATAACAGCATAACCACCAGAAAATTTCACATCGTCAGCGGCAGTCAAACCGTCGCACGTAGCTGGAATTTTCAGATCTTGACGAACTCCTGCCAATTGCATTACTCAATTCAGAAAAGAAACACCACGCAACTAGCGGACTCAATTTTTAAAATTTAAGATGAACTTTCAATAGGTACGATCTGATAATTTGACGATTTATTCAGGGAGCATTTTCAATATAGGATTAAATTTATAAAGTATATACCGATTCGGTCAACGGAGGGCCCCGACGGATTCAAAGAAATTTCGGTTAACCCGTCAGAGGCGGTCGGATGAGTCGATGTCCTGGAAATAGCTCCGACAAATGCGATCGAATTCAGACGATCTGCAACCAGCGCTTCAATCACAGCCAAGTCATCATTATCGCGAGGCTGAAAAGACATGGCACCACACCTCACAGATGCCTACGATACAAGAAATGCGCACTAACATCCCAAATCCGAAGTGTGCATCATGGAAAACAAGATTCGAGCTCAAGGCATCACTATTTATTCGTTGTATCCAGACTGCTGCTGTAGATTCAGCAGTGATGAACGAACGCTTCAAACCATACGTATAATGGCCACCTCAAACCGTGGTCAAACTTCATTCACGAACGCTTAGCAACAATCCGGAAGACCAGGTATTCGAAAAATTCGGAAAGCAGAATACTGTACTGTACCGTAACCACGCCGATAAAAAAGGTTGTTCTTTCGAGATCTTACCGTTTTAACCAAATAGCAGTAGAAAAATGCAACGTAAATAAAAAAAAAAAAGGTATCCGATTTGAGAACGACAAAGAAACTTCTAAAAAACGGAGCGGTGAAGAGGATTGATCAGAATCCTGCAGATTGAGGGCGCAAAAGGTCAGATTTGTTTCATCCGAAAAAAAAAATGAAAACGTTATAACCTTTTACAACAGCGTCATTGCCCAGTATGAAAATAATAAAAATACGAAAGTTTCAACCCGCGTCGACAGTACGTATCGCAGTGATGCTGGCTGAAGACAAACACAAGGGAAGCCTTCGACATGCTATTGTTCTCTTCCTCGTCGCATTTTCGGCAGCCCTTGCAGGCGAGTTAAAAAAAACGAAAAAACCCCGCATAAAAAAAAAAAAAAAAAAGGCCATCGAAAAACCTCAGCGGAGCAGTGGCAAATTTCCGCTAATTTAGTGCTCTCCGTCGTAACCCGGTAGGAAAACCCGCAGCGCCTTTGACAAGTTTGCGTTCACCTTGGGGCAATATCCATCACCCCAATCGGCACGACATTCCGGACAAGAACTTGACTCACGGACGTGTTTCTTGGCGCATCCCTGAAAAAGCACCCAAAATAACCGTAAACATGAAAAAGTCACGGCTTCTTAAGAATAGTGAAATACTGTACTAACCATACAAAGAAGATGACCACACGGCGAATTGCTCGGTTGAACGGGAACATCGCGACAAATGTTGCAGATCATCACTTCATTAATTTTCCGGAGAAATGCCTGCAAAATACGTCAAATACTGTAGTATGATAATGCCAAGGTATTTCGAACACACTGACGTACAATCTCAACACAAGGAACCATATCAAGACACGATTTCCAACGTTCCTTGTTCACGGTGTCCTTGTCGATCAAGGCTAATTCTTCATCGCTCGGAGAAAAGTTCCTCGTCCAAACATTGTTCACGTCAGCATCCTTACCCTGAATGAAAAGCGGTATGACCGATGTTTAATTTTTAAAAAGTAAGTACGAGCACTTTACTTACCACAACTTTATTGTAGCCCATTTTCTTCATGAAGGCTTTCCCTTCTCCGGTCCATGGGGCCGGTGAATCGTCGTCACGCCTCAGCTTGAATCGGTAAACTAAGAAGTTGGATTTGCCTTTCTCCCTCCAGTATTTTTCAATGCGATAAATTCCGTCGTATCTGCGAATAACTATCCTTCAGTCCATACTCGGTCGTGATTCCCCAGTTCCCATTCAATGAATGATTTGAATAACAGAAAATCCGAATGATAAAACATTAAAAAAGACTCGCACAACAATCTCTATAAACAGAAATAGAGCAATGGAGCTTCAAATAACTGTATCAAGGGATATCGTGCATTTGTCATAAACAAGAAGGCACATACAAATCATCTAGGAATGGATTACTTCCGATAACCATCTAGAAATCCGATTTAACAAACTCCGCAACGGAATTCCATCAAGATATCGTTATTTCACATTTTTCAGCTTTGAAGTGGAATCGATATTTGTACATAAGCCCATTTCTACACATGAAAAAGCAAACCATTCCGCAAGCGTGGTAAGATGTTAGACTAAGTTTTGTTTGTACTGGATTACATTCCATATTTCAATGCATGTAATTTAAATACACTACTGTACTGTATCTTGATGCAGACACGAAGTATTGAACTAATTCGATTTGTCTTTCGTTAATTGTTTTTTGGATACCCGCGGAAACTCGGGGCAGTACACGAGGCCAGGATCAGTGGAGCTCACGTTCAGGCATGCAGATGAAAAAATCAATTAAGATATCACCTTATGCCTTCTTCCGGAGCAAACTTTGAGTCCTTCCTTCCTTTCGCAGATCGGCACACACGAATAGGACGCGTTTTCTTCCAGTCCAAAGCCATCGCACATATAGTCGGTGGATCATTTCTACCGGTGCAGTTGTATGCCAAGCCAAGATTGCCACCGACCAGTTCTTGATCCATAACCTGATCGCCACATCGCTTATTTCCATCTTTCAAATTGCGACCCCCCGATCCAGTAAAGATGATCACGTCACCGTTGTCAACATCATCTTCATAACCTCCAGCAATGACAACTGAATAACAACCCCCACCCTTTCCGCCACGACCATGGATTCCTCCGACCATCGGACGATGAACTCCCCAACTAGAAACCTGTCAAAAAACCATAAAATTTCTAGAAATGCAAACGCTACCACTTCAAACTTCAATGCAATGACCATGACAGTTGAAAAAATCGCATGCGGCAGGATTCGACAGATTTACGTTTATTACTAATATGATATGTCTCACCTCCACGTAAAATTCAAAGAGCATTTTGTGTCTATTACTAGCTATATTAATTTTTAGAAATTACATTACACGCAAAAATATATAAATGGTTGTCCCATTGCCAGGCAGAGTTGGATATGACAGGAATGTATAGAAATTGAAAACGTAAATTGAAATTTCCTCCATAATGTTTGAAGCATTTGCCACTTTTAGGATTTTGAAGACACTGCATAATGAAAGGTTAAAACTTTCCAGTTGCAGCCCGAGTTTCCCGACTTTCGATATACTGAAAATTTGTTAGGATTTAATTTTAGTTGCTGTGTAGAATATTATGTTTCTCATATCTGGTGACATTTTCAACAATTTACTTGTAACAAATCGAAAAAGCAAAACTCATGGGGTGGCAATGCCAGGCTGTTGATATAAAAATTTCCTAATTTGCCTCACGATCCTTTGCTGAAGATAATTTCCATGCATTACAATTAGTTTTTCTAGTGGCTTGAAATTTTATTTTCATTTTGAAATTTTTTCAATTGGCAGAATGAAGGATTAATTTGACACACCAGCATGTCTTCCTTTGAGCACAGATTGTGTATAACCCAATGGGAGAGTGCGCACGGGCAACCAGAAGGAAGTCTGCGTAGCCCAGAGAAAGACAGAGGGATGAGTCAACATAAAGTGAGCATTCAATAAATCAACTCTTCATTCAGCCAAATTGAAGACTGACCTACGATTCTTTAGAACGGACTCATGCAAATATCCCGAGAGCAGCTGATTTCATGGAGTCGCTAGAACAAACAAGAAACCCGAAGTATTTGTCGACAAATTCAAGATCCCAAAATGAATCGCAAAAAGTGAAGATTTGAAAATGTTCCTGGAAAACTTTATATATATATATATATATGCAGTTTACTGAAAATGAATTTTTATAAGCGAGTTTATATACTGCATATACGTATAAATATATGCAGTATATAAACTCGCGTATAAAAATTCATTTTCAGTAAGCTGCATTACCTGCGCTCGGTATGTCCAAGTCATGCCAACATGAATGCCACGAATTTCTCCGTAGTGTCCCTTGGGCACCCATGAAATAGCTGAGTCACGCCCAGCAGTTGCCATTCCTTTACCCCAATCACGTTTCGACAATGTGGTCGAACACTTCATTTTCGCAAGCTTCTCGCTTTTCAGAAGAGCAGACCCAGCTTCCACAATGACAGCGTCGTTTTTGCACTCCTTACAATACCAATCTTCTTCGGGTATGGATTTCAGATCGGCGCAACGGAGATGAAACGACATGTTGCACTGGTCACACAAGACCATTTCTGCGGCGCCATCCTTTCCCCCGCAAGCGTTACAGCCACATTCCCGACATTTCTTACTTTTGATATCGCCACACGTGTCACATCTGGGACGACACTGACGTCTTCAATAAGCGATGAAAAAAGCGGAAGCAGACGGCATAAATCACTCTCTCGAAACATGTTCATCAAAAGCTAGATAGCCGAAGTTAATTGAAAAATCACTCGGCTTCATGTTGATACAAGAACAAGGTGGCAATCATAAATTTATGATCAACGAAATTCGAAATGAAGCATTCATGCTCAATGGATCTGAAGTAGCCTAATGGCAAAGTAAAGCAAAGAATTGAACAGCTTTTCCAGAATATCGTACGAGTACTTACAAGGGGTATGTTTTAGGATTGTCTTCCATATTTCGATCCGCTAGCTTGGAACGCGGCAACAACGGATATAATCCAGCACTTAAAAATACTTCCACACTAGGTGTTACACTTCCGTCGTGTCGCTTAATGCTGCAGATGAGCTTTTTGGATTTGGGATGATACGCCGACTTCACAATGCCTTCATACCAAAAGCCCAGCTTTCCAGGATTTTCCACATTGTAATTCACGAGAACACCGTCCCCAATCTAGAATGAATGTTACACTGAGTTAGCATTATCCAAGGATCATCACAGAAATCAATCGCGAAACCAACCGAAACTTGACTTGGATCCCGCCGCGAGCCGGTCCGAGGTCGTAATTGTCCCAATCGAACTCTTCCTTCTCCTTCTTCTTCGCGACCTTCGTAAACAACCCAATACTGAAGGCCATCAGTCTCCGTTATGCAGCCGTCATCTACCAAGTTCAAATCCCACTCTTCAATCTTTTTGATGATGGCAGGGAACCAAGCAAAATCTGCATTGGGGTCAGTGGCATCAACAAGATCTTCCACAGCGAAATACTCGCTCTTCACGGCCTTCGGTTCAGCAGTGACTTTCGATTCTTCCTCTTCGTCCTGACGTCTTTTCTTTGGCTGGAACAAGCAAAAAATTACATTGAAACAAGTAAATCCTGAGATTTCCCTGAACGAAGAAAAAGCTGTAAGACGAAATAGGAAGATTGCTGACGAATTATTGGAATGAGAAATTTTTCAAATCACCACAGGCTCCTGGTCTTCGAAAAGCTCGGGCCTGATCGTGACATCAAGCACCGCTCGATCCTGAAATCTGTATTCGAATATTTTGTGGAGATCTTCAAGTTGCTTGCCGCATCCGATCACGCGTATTCTTTCCGATGAAACTTTGAAGTGCTCGGCAATCGTTCTCTTCAACTGCAGAACTGATGAGGTCTTTGACATTTCCAACTCGCCCATCGGCTTACTTCCCCCCGGAGGATTAAAGCACCGGATCGTGAAACGCATGACTGTATTTTTACACGCGACCACTCAATGATCCGTTCACTGCACAGAACATTTCAAGAGGCAAGATTAAAAGGTACTCCGAAAAATGCTCGCTCACCTCACAATAGCAACCTTTTCACGGGGAATTCAAACTGTGTTCAAATAAGCTCCTGCTCAGATATAAAATCCAGGGAGCATTGAAGATTTCGAAACCAGAAGATAATTGTCCGCATAGGATTATTAAAGGGGAGACTTCGATACTGCCCCCCAACTTTGACCTACTGCAGGCATCTACTGCGGGCATTCGCCGTGCCTGGCTGTGCGCTGTACAGTTAAGTTGGGGGGCAGTATCGAAGTGTACCTTTATTAATCATTACGATCGAACTTCAAACCACAATTCCAATTAATTTTCCGTCCCAAAACACACAGGGAGTTCGAGTTCGACTGGCGGGAAGTTCCAGTTAGGGCGCGCATCCCTTTGTAAGCCCATGCAGGCAATTGGAGTCAATTCATAAATAGTTTGCATTTTATAAATACGATGTCGCTAGCATCGCTCGAGTCATCATCCACAGCCCTAGACCTAGGGATCGGAATCGGTAACAGGTACAGTACACTACTTGACTTCCGGATACAACTTGCAATGCCTTTCACGTTTCCGACATAACTAATAAAAGTAATATCTACCAAGTACTGATTAAAATTTTGTACCGAACTGTATTATTCACCCATGATTCAGTAACACTCAAAAAATAATTGAGCGCAGATGACCTAATGAATCTAATTCTTGTCAATCCTGGCACTATACGTTTTTTATGCGGTGTACACGTTGTACAATATATCCAGCTTTATGTTCTACTCGCAAAATAACTCCGTGTTTATACTGAACGGTATGTAATGTCATTTATTCTCCTCTAAGAATGACTGCACAATCGTGCGGTACAAATTTGATACATTTTCCTTTGATCTTCATTTCGATTTCATAACTATTTTACTGAAATGAAACTTTAGCAGTTATACTCTTCCTCAATTGCTTGGTAAAACAAGTTTTAAAGCATGCGACCATCAACAATGCTGAACTCACATCACTGAACAAGAGCTTATAACAGATTAAACCAGGACGAAGAAAAATTTCTGCAAAATCTATTGACTCAGATTTGTGTTCAACGCGAGAAACACCTCTGAAATAAGATGAGCTCGTTTTCCCTTTCGGAGCAATGAAAGAGACGGCTTGAAATGGACGCAAAAGAATTTCGCCGTGAACATTGCGGTTCTAATATACTTTAATGCTATACAGTACAGCAACAGATAAAGGATAATCTTTTCACATTTTAATTCATTCAATCACCAGCGTACAGCATTTCCCATAACCAAAAAAAAAAAAACTTCAACAATTAGTTTTTAAAGGATGCGGCAAAAAGCATTCAGTCACTGCCTAACAAGCTAGCGTCAATCCACAATTAATCCCAATCCGATCATGCGTCTTCATCGGTTCCGTAAGAGCTTATTCTTTCTTTAGTAGCCAAGAGACGTTTCCAGCTCCTTTCTGAATGTTCCAGTTCGCTGGAAATACGTTGCGTTTCAAGATAAGATTGGGATTTGCGAGCGGCGTCAAAAACTTTTCCTGATGAGGACTTGCATTGCAAGCCGGGGCCAACCAAGTCTTGTAATTAATGGGTCCAGTCGATGAAACGGCAGGGCTTCCGGTTGAAATCCATTGACTCTTCTTGGCCTTTTCTTCCCTCAGTGCGCTTAATTCGGCAAAGAATTTTCCTCCATCTTGGGCAATAATGTTTTCTTGCAGTCGCCAGATTTTATGATCGGCATTTTTGATTTTTTCATGAATTTCGCCGAACTTGAACGAATCGGTGCAATCGAGGATTTGCGCGTCATCAACTGAAGGACATTCAATAGGCTCTGAAGGTGACTCGGAGGAAATGATCTGGAACAAACGGGCAAACCACGGAGTTAAAAAAATTCAGGTTACAACAAATACGGAATCCGACACAGAAAAAGACGCGTGGATGGTACAGCATTGAAAAAAATAACAATAAACGAAGCGACACAAGCTCGCAGACAAGTGAGGATGAATCATCTGTAATACCGTATGATACGAGAGGTTTCTCAGAACTCCTGCGACTTACTGTACCCAAAACCAGTCTCAATACTGTACTGTAGTTGACCCACCCAAATCGTCCATTTATAGGCTTATAATACATTTTCACATTCGGCCCGAATGTACAGAAGAAACAATTAATGTATACAGTGTACCGTATTTATTTTTCAAAAACTTAATGCTGTCATGAAGTTTCTGGGAGGAAAGGGTCGGTTCACTACAATCCTTATGACTTTCTCGGTGGTCCGTCAGTCACAAAAACCAGAAAAAAAGATGAAAAACTGGCCAAGGACAATTTTCATATTGAAAGGTACAGTACATTTGACAATTCTGTAGGTGTAAATTCTTGCATCGATCATTTCACTTATGAGACCTGCTCATACAAATGGCTCCTGCTATAGATGCATCGCGGTTGGTAAGATAAGCTGAAAACCCTAACCCACTTGTTGAGGATCCTTGGAAAAATCAAGCCAGGTTTCAGCATCTTCGCCAAAACTTAAAGCACTGCAATTTTCAAAAACATTTTCTTGATGTTGCTGACTAATTTTACAGTAGAGGAAATACTCCTAACAATCGTATATCACATCTGACTCAAGCTTAATATCCCTTTACACCCAAGTCTTTTTTGAAAAGGGTCCATTTCATTTTACTACTGTATATCCACGTATCACAAAATCTTCTTGCCAATTCCGTTAATTTTTCGTCAAAGTCACTCGTAATCTTCATTTGCTCTAAAAGAACAAGGACTAGGACACTAACTTCATTCGCAGCTTTTTCCAACCGCTTTCGACGAATCAACCAGGTCTCGTTGTCATCGTTCCAAATTTTCTCCCAGTGCTTCGAGACGTTCGATTTCCATGCTGATGCTGCGGCGGCGTCTGGTTTCCATTGCAAAGGCTCAACTGTGTTAATTTGCTCAGCTTCTTGATTATGCTTTTTCGTCAGGAGCCAATTTGCTGATCTCGACAAACTACGATTATTGATGTTGACCATAGGCACGGCGAGAGCTTCTTTATTAAGGGCTTTCTTTACGCAGCAACCGCCCGATGTCAGTCCACAACAGTCTTCTAGTTGCTTGCACACAGGTTCTTTCTTGCAGAACATTTTCAGCATCATGAATTCTCCGTCTTCCGCCCACTGCGATCGATTCTCGACTTCGCATACGTCATCCTAAGGACAAAATTCGAACCTTCACTGAAAGAAAACCATATTTTTCCTAACTAAATAATCGATCCACACGACGCTAGAATATCTACGCAAACTAGAAGAAAGAAGGGTGCAACAAAAAACAAGCACATAAAAGAGGAAGTTTCAAAATTGTTGGTTAGGTTCATTTGAAATCGTCAATATTATATTGGACTTGATCTTCTGAGACTTCCTCTTTGGCGATATATTATAACTACAACAGTCATATTCTACGGGTTCACGGAAATAAAATACGGCTTCTTCCGCACCTTACAAGGGTAAGCGACATCATCATCCAAATTTCCAAGAATTTCAATGCTGTCACTGCAGGACGATTCGCTTTTCTTATGGGTTACATCATTTTTCATCGTTTGCAACCATGTTTCAATGTTCTGGGGCTGAAAATATAAAGGATAAATATCCCCCGGAATCGAAGCATGACAAAATCCTTCAAGCAATACCTTCGGAAGTTCGGGCTCTTTGAGACGCTGCAACAACCAACGATTTCGATCGTCCAATGATAATCCGGTATGGTTTGGGATTACGTGCATTTTCTTCGGAAAACGGATCAGACTTGGGGAGCCCAGCAAGGGTTTTGTTTGAAGTACTTCCAGTTCGCTGTCCAAGTAATCCTCGTGCCTACACCGATCAAGATTATTCATAAAAACGATATATTCACTGACAAAAATCATATAAAGTGGTGTATTACCCGTAGGGCAAGAACCCCAGGCCTTTCTTATCGCCGTCGCTATTCTTGAAGGACATCAGAAATGCACTGCCAGCATCAATTTCTCCAAAATCTTGGATCATTTTCTCCAACTCTTTCACCGCGTTGTCAGGGAACGTCACGGCAATCGGAATTTTTGTGGTATCTTCATTCGTCAGGTCGCATTGCTTCAGTCCGGTTCGAATTTTATCCAATAAATCCGCAGCATCTTTTTCAAAAGCGATGTCATTTTCCTCCAAGTTCGTTTCATTGGCGTAGCGGGCAAAGAAACTTTGCGCTATCCCAACCAACTGGTGCAGTTGGGCATGATGAACAAGATAAACTGACATGAAGTGCGCCGAGGCAACATCGACTTGGCGCAGAAGCTGCTTCTCTCGAGCCTGCAACATTTCGCCTTCCTCCGATATTCTCTTCGTGATTTCCTGTCGAACCTTCGGCAAAAAATTGATGAAATTGCAAGACCGCTTTAAAAAAATTGATTTTTGACATACCTCTCCTCCTCTAACATCCAACCTAGCTTTCAAGTTTGCATAGTTCTGCACTCGCCCTTGCAGCTGTCCAAAATATTTCTGAAGTTCGCGAAATTTTTCTGCCATTTTTTTTTCGTCACAAGCTACGTCAATAAGAAGATTGCTATTGCAAAAAAAAGACTAGGAAAGAATGGGCAACTTTTGGCCAGCACCTGTAAAAAAAAAAGCCTTTCAATGATGGTCCACATCGCGGATTACGGAAGATTCCACCACCGATCTTCAATTTTTCAACATGAAACACAGATTCAAATTAGATGATATCAAGCAATCGTTGGGACAGGAAATCGCATCATGTCATACATGAAAAGATGCTTTCGGTTTATTTTTTCGTCTATCACGAACTTTGCATCCTCTCTGCGACGCTTCCCACTCTTTTGCATATTGTTTGTAAAGCGTCATTGCGGCGATCGCATCTTCCACCTAGAGAATACTTTCAGTAAATTCAGATACAAACGAACGAGGAAAGAAAAGTTCACGAACTATCTAGAATTCCAGATGATATTCACCGAATCGTGTATCCCGTGCTGGATCTTCACGTCTAGAAGTCGGTCGGTCAAATTTTTCAAACTCGGAGTTTTTCCATCGAACAGTTTTCGGAACTCCGGATAGCTAGCAAATTTAGAGGTCATAAGGATGACAAATCAATAGGCTGCCCATAAATTATTACAGTGTCGACCAAAACAAGTAATTCATCACAAAAATGATTCAAATTAATTAGGAGATGAAACACAGAAAAAATACCTGACCGTAACTCATTTAATCATCCATCCAGTGATGTAAAGCTTAAGAGGCAAAGGTGCATCATTATGACCGCTATGACGGTTTAAAAAACCTAACCATGCAAAAACTTTGCCTTTACTGTGCTTTTTAGCCCCAATCCGACAAAAATCTTTTCCTATGACGAATAGACCGCACACTCAATTAAGGCAATGACAAATTCTTATAAGAAACTGGACGATACAGGATGCTTCAGCGAAAGATACAGCTTTAAAACGTAATATTTCCTTACTGTGCTATTTTATCCTGGAAGTGGAAGATTCAGGCGGCGAAAATTTGATTAAAAATAATATATTATCAGAAAGGTTCGGTTATTCAATCGGGCAATGGAATTCGTTAGATTGATTAGAACGCACAGAGAAGCCCAAGTCCGCGCGGAAGAAAAAGAATCGACGCAATTATTGATTTGCATGGTAAATAATGTTCATTGGCTTCCAGTTCGTGTTTGAAAAATAAAAGCTTAGAGACAACTTGAAATTCTGAACTACGCGTAAATCGAGTTGAAATTGAATCCATTGAATAAACAAAATTGATTCACAGAACTTCCGAAAATGTTACCTCGAACCTAGTTGTGAAGCCAGAAGAACAGAGGCTATATTCTATTTTCCGGATAGACACGTAAAATAAAATATAGCAACATTTTTCACGGACATCTTCTTCGCCAGATGTGACTATTGTACACATCAATACGGCTTTCAGACATCGGAAGGCATGTTTGAATTCAATTTCAATTGGGTATACTTTCAGGTTTTCTCGAAATTAAAATGGCAATAATGTACTGAATCTGGATGTTTAGAATCCCCTAGAATAATGAAAGGAATCATTCAAAAAATTACTTGAGCGATCAAGGATCACAGTGCTTAACGATGGAAGGAAAAATATGCCTTTCACACGATTAAAATTCAGAAGCACTCACGTGGACGTATCTCTTATCAAATGTTTTGGATGTGATAAAAGCAACACCGCGAAATCGTTTTTCAGCGAATGCCCGACAAGCACACGCTTATGGATCAGTGCAGCAACCTCTCTCCGCACCGTGGAGTATTCCTCAGCTAGAATCGTTGAATGATTACATCAAGTAACCGAAGCGCATACACAAAGTAGACAAACAGACGGAGTTACCATGCAGTAAGTGAGAGGACGTGACTCCACTCACGTGCGTCCTGTAGTTGGTGACTTCCTCACTAGGCCTAACGTACTTGTCGTAAACACACTCGTTTTTTTCGTTGACGATCGAGACGCGTGCAAGGATGCTGCGTTCCATTTCTGGCGTTCCTACTCCGACCATTTCGCAATCAATTGCCAGGCACTTCGTCAGACTAAGAAGAAAGAAGGTGAGCATTTAAAAAAATTAGGAAATTTCTGACCCACTTCCGATTAGTGTAATTTGTTGGAACAATTAGGTGCTTTTTCACACTGTAAACAAGGCCATCGCACAACAAAATTTTCGATTAATTTTCTGGAATAGATCTGTTTTAAAGCTCTCAATTCTAATAAAAATAAATCGTTCAAAGTAATTAAACAAAGATTAGCATTATGCAATTCACAACCGGCACATCCAACGCTTATCACCATGAAACTTTTAATTATGAATAAACCGCACAGAGGGCTAATTCTTATATCAATGATACAGTACTTGAACGTAAGACGCAAATAATTGCATATTCTTTCTTCCTCAAATACTGTACATACTTCATACAATATGCATAAAACTTTAACTTCTGAATACTTGCGCTTCAACGAACTGCTCAAGGTCGTACACCAAAAATCAGGATTACCCTTATTTCAACATTAAACATGAAGTGGTTGGAAAGATTCCATCAATTGAATTTTGTACGATGTTAAAAGTTATTGCATTGTTCAGTAGCAATCATGCATTAAACCTGCGAATATACGGCTCCGCCTTAGTAGCAGTAAGACAGCTAATTTTTCGAGAGATAACGGGACCACAACTTAGTTGTTCTGCTCTTCCGAGAGAAAGTTAAATTAATCATTCAGACGTGAAGCAAGAAGTATTGACCTTAAAAGGCCGTTTACTTTCAGCAAAATTACCAATGAACTTTTCAGGTACTGCATACAAGACTTCAATTTAAGACAGATACATAAGCGATGTCCACATACAGTACACAGTAATTTTCGAAGATTAACAAATATATGCGTTTCATCAAAATATCGACGATAAATATTGTATTGCCTTGCAGAAAGTTAACCAGACATTCAACCCTAGTAACTGAAATAATCTCATTGAAACCCATAGACATATTGTACTGTACTAAGAATTCCAAGAATTACAGCTGTCAGAAAATGTTGATCCTTGGAATTAAAACCAGTACGTCTCGAGGTTATCACAATATTCAAGATAGAACTGAACTCATTGATTTCGAGAAAACTAAAAATAAATTAAAATTTTGAAAATCCATAGCGCAGGCAGACGTGCTGTACCCATTTCACAGCGATCAATAAATCGACTATTAAAAGTCTCGTTTTCTCTACAGACTCCACTTCGAAAGTTTTACCTATCACTCACACGTCGGCTTCGAAATTTGTCATTTTTTTCAGTCAGCTTAGCCCCGTCTTTAATCCGCTGGCATTCAATCCCATTTTCATGTATGGCGGAAGTTCGACAATGAGCTTTCCTCTCTTGAAAGATATGTCCCTTGAATTTTTTCCTTCTTGCGGGTTCTGGTTTCAGGGTCTGTGAAGAATCAGAACACTCCGTAGACTGACATATTCCGCGTATCTGGAGTTATAATTACCTTAGCGAGCTGCTTCCAATTACTTGATATTTCAACGGTCAATCGCGGTCTTTTCACCATTGACATGACAAAAATGGATCGACATTCACCGCCTAGAAAAAGCTTACGATCAAATAAGGCACACAGTCCTCCTACGCATCTTCCTCGTCTTCATTCAGTTTTGGCATTGCTACCTGAATGACTTTTGCTTCGCATCATCGCTGATAACAATAAACTACTCATGGTACACAGATAACGAAATCAGATCCGAAGGGTGCGAAATGCAAAGATCGATAACCGACTTGCGGTTCTGACAAGGGAATGTCAAGATGTACGTATTATATCGAATAAAAAAAAATCGATCGGAAGCCCTCAAGACACAGGAAAGAAAGCAAACGCATAGGGGAAGAAGTTCACTAAGTTTCTTCACAGCCAGAAGCGGCTTCAAAATTCGGTTTCCGATTCAACTAGTGTAAAAAAAAAAAAAAAAAACTCGAAGAAAAATTCGGTGAGCAGACATCAAGACCCAGACGATGCAATCTTGTTCGCAGGATGGTGAGTTGGCATCAAAATATCTGATTAATTGGTTTCATCTCAGCTTGGAGATCACATTTGCTTCAACTTGTAAGCGGCAATTGCAAGTCCCGCGACGGCGACCCCAGACACAGCAACTTTCCAAAATGCACTCTGAATACAGGAATAATGTTCCCATCAACTTTTCTATGTTTTGTGGTGAACTTCATCCAAGTATCGAAAGGTTTAATTTAGTGAGAGATCTTATTTGAGCATATCAGGGCATACCCATGAAGAATTCTCCTCGCGAGGACGCTGCTTTACATCTGGATTAGATGTGTGCTCTTTCAGCATTTTTTTGTAAAGATCTCGTTCTCGCTGTTCCTCAGCCTTTTTCTTCGAAGCTAGCTGGGAAAGCTCAGCAGCAATTGCCTTGTCATCAGGACAAAGCGCAGCTGCTTTTTTGATGGCTGAATACGCTTCGTCAGTGTCATTCAAGGCAATTAAAATCTGGAATAAAATCAAACGTACGTCAATATTTCTCCCGAACGAAATTCTAAATATCGTTTTCGGTGAAGATTGTTAGGTTTAGTTACCTTCGATTTCCTGCATAAAGCTTTGACGTTATCCGGTTGACATCGAAGTACATTATCTACCGAACGTAGAGCTGCATCGAAAGCACCAAGTTTGAACTGCGCGGCTGCCAAGTTGTTGTTCACTTTTAATCGATCTTCCAGAATCGTTTTCATTAAGCCTTCGCTTTCTTGATCACCCTGATCTGCAGAATCACTATCATTTTCGTCCAGATACTCCAAGGCTCGGCGGTACAATTGAACCGCTGAAGCATACGCCTGCCTGACGAACCAGAAATTACCTCGCTCCCTTTTGGCATTGCTGAAAATGATAAAAAATAAAATTAGACAGCTACAACACATATAGCATCATTTCAAGGTCTTATTTTTCTTGCTTTGTTTACAGACTAGGATCGAGGGATACATTTTAAGATTATTTAAATGGGAAGTGATGTATAGCAATTGAGAAATTTCAATTTTCACGTTGAATTTCCCCAGAAAATGTTTCTAAATGTTTGGAAGAAGTACTAACCCTATTCGCAGACGGTCCGATTTGGAAAGCGATTCAGAATCTTCCTCATAAAAGTCTTTGAGGATTATCGTGTACCTTAAGGTGGCGTTCTTGGGAATTGTCTGCTCCAAACCAAGATCTCCGTAAGCAAATCGAGGTTTGATAACAGCTTCCGCTGTTTCCCCCTTGCACATGAGGGGAAGGATCAGATCGAGTCCTTGATTGATCTGAAGAACACAAATAATGATCAGGGATTGAATCCCGATCACTGGTATTCGCCGAATTCACCTCCAGATCTCCGATGTAAACTTCGCGTTCCACATACTCTTCAACGTAGGCGTCGTCGTCTGCTTGGTCCAATTTTCCCAAAACCGTAACTACAACTCGATTTCCCCGTTTAGGTCGGATATCATCAACTCCAACTTTTAAAACCTGATGACACCTGAATGAGTTCGCGCCAAGCATGAAATGTACAACTAAAAACAAACCTTCTTCAAGATTTGGCCACTACCAAGGATATCTTCGTATTCCTGCTCTTCCACTTCGTCGTTGGTTATTGCACTTTTCCCATTTAGATCTCCCTCGTCGATTTTCTCCCATTCCTGACTTTCGGTCATCGCAGAGGGTATAACTTGTGGCTGATCAAAGGCAGGCACTGTTGATTCATTCAAGCACGAGCTCGAAGCAGGTTGCTTCGTACCCTCATTATCGACTGTCAACGGCGATTTTCCTAATTCAAAACTTGATGCACCAGGGGTTGACTCGAAGTCTTCGAATACGTTATTCTTTTCATCAACAGCACTTTCATCGCAGTCTCCTACTAAGTCAAGCGCTGAATCTAAACTTGCAAGCTTTTCCGAGACGGTCGATACGCTCCCGCAGTCACTAACATCAGATGCCGGGGGCTGGACGATTTCGATGGGATCGTCAATGAGGATATCAGACATAATGACGAATTCAAATTTTTCCTCAAGGTCTCTGGCAATGACAAGAAGCCAAACTCGATAATTATATTATTACCGAGACATCTATCATATGTCATGCAAAAACAAGGGATCACTGAAAAGCGGGGGAGGGGGGGGGGTGGGAACCATGGTCCCAGACCTTCCAGTAAATACTGTGATTATACGGAATCTTCCAAAATCAAGTGAACCCTCTCTTTGGATAACTGTAACACTCTTAAAGTAACTTTATTCTAGGCTTAATACGAAATTGACATCACAACACTATTCACTGCGATGGAGCTCATTCAAGTACTGTACAGTTCACAGCAAAGCCTCCGCACAGATTATCGCGTCCAGCTGAGACGAGCATAGGGCTAGAATCTTCGTCATTGCCTTAGCATCACTTAAAAGTTAAGAACTACGAGTACACCAAGAAAACGGCGCGGACCCAACTCCTGCGATGGAATCGCGATCCATCGCAACAGAACTTCCCTTGTTAGGCTTATGCAGCACCATGAAGCGCAATTGCGATGTAAACTGCGCGTTCGCCTAGAAACATGACAGCTGCAGGAAGTCACATGAACTTTCAATTTCCACCATATGGTCCTCTCCCATATTTTCAGAAAAGCTTTTCTTCTAATTTATTTGTAAAAATTCTCGGTTAAAAAATGATGTGTACTTCTCGTTTACAACCTACGGTAGTACTGTACTGTTTATTCATCAGATCAAAGAGTGACATCTATTGTAATTTTTAAGCGTGAAAGCTCCGTCATCAGTTCTTCCAGAATCCGTTCTACGCTACATTACTGTGCTACAATCTGAAGGCAGTACTATGGTCACCCAAGAATTCTGCGGCGAGATAGGTCTCACCAGTCAAGCTCGGGTTATTGGTGTTGAGCATCTATGGCGAAGACCTCTCGTAGAATGTTCGTGTCCGGCGCATGAAATGGGAAGTGGGATTCTTGTGGGCCCCTTATGTGCTTAACTGTATCTTGCCAAATGTACAGTAATTGATAAGTTTTTGTCCATCTTCCAATTTGACGTTGCTGTGTTCCTTTTGTTGAAGGAAATTTTACGACAGTCTACTTGATGAGGCGTTTGACCGGTCGATGTACTGTATTTTAAAATAATTTTCGTTTCTTTAAAGGATTATCGATTGTAATCGAAACGCCAGAATTTTTTGCATTTGGTCATCAGTGTCAAGAAAAAGTTTTTCAGGATGGTGAGTTGAACGCTGTGTCCCGAGTAGTTCCGTAGCTGAATCTTATTTATTTTTCAGCAACCTCAAATAATCTTGCTGAAAGAAGGAACCGAGAATCATCAGGGCAAACCTCAGTTGATATCTAATATCAATGCCTGCGAAGCCATCGTTGATGCCATCCGAACCACTTTGGGCCCGCGTGGGATGGACAAGTTGATCGTAAGTGGCCAAGGCAAAACCGTCATTTCCAACGATGGGGCAACGATAATGAAACAACTTGACGTAGTTCATCCTGCTGCTCAAACTATGGTGGACATAGCGAAGTCACAAGATGCAGAGGTTGGAGAAAAATAAATCATTTCCGTGAACTGCTCGGTCATTTTACTGTAATTAAGGTTGGAGATGGAACCACGACGGTAGTTCTTCTTGCTGGAGAGTTACTGAAAAGTAGCAAGCCATTCATCGAAGAAGGGGTTCACCCGCAAGTGATCATAAGGGCTTACCGTCGTGCAACACAGCTAGCTGTAGAGAAGATAAAGGAGCTGGCTGTCAAAATCCAACATGACGATAAGATTAAGGAACGAGAACTGCTGGTCAAGTGTGCTGCAACAGCTTTGAATTCGAAACTTGTTGCTGGCCAGAAAGCATTTTTCGCCGAAATGGTGGTTGATGCCGTTTCGCATCTCGATGAACTGTTGCCTCTGAACATGATCGGTGTCAAAAAGGTTCAGGGAGGTGCATTGGAGGTGGGTTGAGAAAAAATTTTGTTATACCTTGCGTTTTTGATTCAAGATATACTGTAATTCGATTGGGGACATTTTTAAATGTTCATACTGATCACAGGATTCAATGCTGATCCCTGGAGTTGCGTTCAAGAAAACCTTTTCGTACGCTGGATTTGAAATGCAGCCCAAAAGCTACAAGAGTCCGAAAATAGCATTGCTGAATATTGAGCTGGAATTGAGGGCGGAGAAGGATAACGCAGAAATTCGAGTTGACAACGTCAGTGAATATCAGAAAATTGTCAACGCCGAATGGGAAATCTTGTATGAAAAGCTTGAACGTATCCACAAGAGTGGTGCAAAGGTTGTGTTGTCCCGGCTTCCTATAGGAGATGTCGCTACTCAGTACTTTGCTGACCGGTAAGTGATTCCGTGCGTAGTCTGTGAACGTCTTATGAAAATAACTATTTTTCCTGTATCATCAGTGACATGTTCTGTGCCGGACGTGTTCCAGAAGATGACTTGAAGCGTACCATGAAAGCATGTGGGGGAGCAATTCTATCCACCGTGTATGATTTGAATGACGCAAATCTTGGCACGTGTGATGAATTCATCGAGAAACAAGTTGGCGGTGAACGGTACAATCTGTTCCACGGCTGTCCCGGCGCCAAAACTTGCACTATCATTCTTCGCGGTGGAGCTGAACAATTTATTGAAGAAACTGAGAGATCTCTTCATGATGCCATCATGATAGTTCGTAGAGCGATTAAGAACGACTCAATTGTTGCTGGTGATCAATCTTTCTCTTATCTACATATTTTGCCAAACTGCGGCTTGATTTTGTGTTTAATTTTGTATTCCTTTACAGGGGGTGGGGCTATTGAAATGGAAATCAGCAAGTATCTGCGTGATCATTCGAGAACAATTCTTGGCAAGGAACAAATGCTCATTTCCGCTTTTGCTCGAGCACTAGAAATCATTCCTCGACAGCTGTGCGACAACGCCGGGTTCGACTCGACTGATATATTGAACAAACTGCGCCAGAGGCATGCTAAAGGTTTGAAACTATCCTAGCAGTTTCGTGGGGTGTTCTCGCTTAGCTGACTTTATTTTTCATTATCAATACATATGATTTTGAACTGCACTGTACTTCCAGGAAATTCCTGGTATGGAGTTGACATGTTCTCGGAAGACGTTGCGGATAATTTCGAAGCGTGCGTGTGGGAACCGGCAATTGTCAAGATCAACGCGATCACAGCCGCGTCTGAGGCGACCTGTTTGATCCTCTCCGTCGATGAAACCATCAAGAATCCTAAGTCCAACATTGACAAAAACGCCCTCCCCGGTGGACGCTAGGTCATCGCGTTGGCTAATTCCGCGCATTTTCCTCACTGACTTTCCGTGAGAGTTAAAATCTGTTCATTAATTTCACTTTTTTCAGGGCTATTAAACAAAGTAATCCCTGTTCACGAATTGAGTCTCTTTTGTCGTGCCTGAGGGAGATGCAGCGAAGGGAAATGCACCCAAAAGTAATGGAATCTTGTATTAGTTCATTTTCACCCGTGCACGTTATTTTCCGTTGCTAAATTTCCGATTTGTGTCAGATTTCTTCCGTTTCTAGATGTTCGTTATTCATCGCGGTCTTAATTCTGTTCCGATTACTCTTGCTCCGCGAAAGGCGATCCGTCAGGCGATTTCTTGCAATCGATACTTCGGAACATGTGTCTGCCTTGAATCTCGGAAAACAATTAAGCACCACGGCGATGGAAAAAAAGGGTATAAGAAGCAGATTTTGGAGAAAAAACCACAGCCGACCTCGTTGTCCGCATTATTTACTCCTGTGCCTGTTACCGTATCACCGGATGACATCAACGTTGGCGCGGAATTGACAGATCGATTGAAGAAGCAAGATCTCATGCGCATTTTAACTACATTTTCTCAGCGAGAACCAGTGAGAACGCTTTCTCGGGAACAGGGGCTCGATGGTGAGTTTATTCTACTGTATTACCATAACTTTTGAAAACGCTTGAAGTTCAGCATAAGTTGATAGTCTTTGAAGTGCCATACATGTCTTTCGTAACGGTAATTCATATTCCTCTATTTGTAGGATCATTGTTTCATCAAGCGTATGTGAGCTTCCGCCGCTTCTGTCTGGACTCCGAAACGCTTCCCGCGGACTTGCACATAATTTTCAGCGACATACTGCAGGGTGCCGGGCATTGTGATGATATTTACCCATACTTTATCCGTCACGCGCGGCGGGTCTTTCCTCATCTCGAGTGCATGGATGATCTGAAAAAAATTAGCGATCTTCGATCTCCAGCCAATTGGTATCCAGAGGCGAGATCAATTGGTAGGAAAATAATTTTTCACGCTGGACCCACGAACAGCGGTAAAACATTTCATGCTTTGGAAAGATTCATGCAGGCCAAGTCCGGCGTTTACTGTGGGCCGTTGAAGTTGCTTGCGGTAGAAGGTTTCAGAAAAGCGAACGAACGAGTTAGTGATTTGGTTTGATTCTCCGCAGCCCAATCTGGGATATTTTGTTGACCTTAATTGTTTTTATTATTAGGGAACACCGTGTGACTTGGTTACTGGTGAGGAAAGGTCTTTTGCTAGTGATACACGAACACCCGCAGCCCATGTCTCTTGCACTGTTGAGATGTCCTCTGTGACGACACCTTGTAAGTTTCCGATTTACTTTCAATTCGAGGCAGAAAATGAGGAATTTCCTGGGAACAGATGAAGTGGCTGTTATCGATGAAATTCAAATGATACGTGATAGACAGCGAGGTTGGGCGTGGACTCGTGCCTTGTTGGGGATCAATGCAGAGGAGGTTCACGTTTGCGGAGAAGCTACGGCAATTGACCTTGTCCGGGATATTTGTGCTACCGCCGGAGAAGAAGTTGAGGTGCATTATTTTAACCACGGTAGAATTACCCAAGCTAGCGATCGGATTTCTGTCTGATTAAAAAATCGAATTTTACTGATGACGAAGAATACAACAACCCAAATTTTATTCAGGGTAATTTTACTTCATTTTATTTGAGGTAATTGCTAATAACCTATTGATATTGCCGAAATTCCTTCGAATCTCAACTTAACTGGCGGGTGTAACCTGCTGTTACGGTGGATATTAGCTGAAATTTATGTAGCAGCTTTTTATTCGTCTCAATGAAACAAAATTCGAGTGTGGTCCATCAGATTTCCGATTATACGATGAACTAAATCTTCTGTACGTCTGATGTCTCTGTTGTACCGGAATGTTTCAAGATGAATTAAAATCATTTTGTTATTTTTCGCGTCTTCTATTTTGTCGAAGTCTACGACTTAGTGTTATGTTTGCGAAAATTCGGTTTTTTTGTGCGAAGTTTGGAGACTGTAGAAATAGAATGAGAGAGCTACGATGAGCAGAAAGATCAACCTTGACGCGCATAGTGTATTGTGTATGACCGATCACGAAGGAGAGAATAATCTGTTATGTTTTCAGGTGAGAAAATATAAGCGTTTGACGGAGTTGGTTATCGAAAAGGAAGCCTTGCGGAACATTGACCGAGTTCAGCCCGGAGATGCGATCGTTTGTTTTTCAAAGAATGACATTTACGCCGTCTCGAGACAAATCGAACGTCTTGGCAGAGAAGTTGGTGTGATTTATGGTGGTCTTCCGCCTGGAACAAAGTTGGCTCAAGCTGCAAAGTTCAATGACCCGAATGATCCGTGTAAGATCCTTGTGGCCACGGATGCTATCGGGATGGGGTTGAACTTGTGAGTGGTGATAGGATTCTTGCATCTGTCTTTTCACTAATTGACAATGCTCATCTTTTTTTACTGTTCGCAGGAGCATACGCCGTGTAATATTTTATTCACTGGTAAAACCCACGTTAAATGAAAATGGAGAAAAAGAGATGGACGTGATATCTGTATCCCAGGCGCTACAAATCGCCGGTAGGGCGGGTCGATTTGGCACTCAATTTGAGAAGGTATGCTATCGGCTGGGACCCACGAGTGTTTTGCTAAGCCCTTCTGAATATTCTTGACTGTACATTGTTTCTCTTTTACTCGATTTAGGGTCATGTTACATCTTTCAAATCGGAAGATTTGAGTACTCTGCATGAATTGCTTGCATCTCCACCCGAGGAAATCGTTCAAGCCGGTTTGCATCCTACGGCAGAACAAATCGAGCTGTACGCGTATCACTTACCGCATGCGTCTTTATCAAACTTGATGGTACAGTACTCATTTTTTAAATTGAGCTACGGTATTATGGTCTAGCAAACACGTTCTGACTCTTTTAGGACATATTTGTCAGCCTTTCGACTGTCGACGATTCGCTTTACTTCATATGCAATATTGAAGACTTCAAATTTCTCGCTGATATGATACAACATGTTCCTCTGCCATTGAGAGCGCGGTATGTGTTCTGCTGCGCACCGATCAACAAGAAAATGGCCTTTGTTTGCACCATGTTTTTGAAGGTTGGTGTGTTTATAATTATCTTTTCTTCTTTGTTCTAAATTTTTGTCTTAATTCGTTCTTTTAGCTTGCCCGTCAGTACAGTCGCAATGAAGCTGTGACTCTCGATTGGCTCTGTCACCATATTGGCTGGCCGCTGCAGACCCCCAAAACCATAATAGATTTAGTTCATATGGAGTCTGTCTTCGATGTTCTGGATTTGTATTTGTGGCTCAGGTAATTCGTCGTTATTCCTTGCATGATTTTTGGAACATCTCATGCATGAAGTCTGTTCCAGTTACCGATTCCAGGATTTATTTCCTGACGTCGAACTGGTGCGAGATATGCAGAAAGAACTTGACCTGGTGATACAGGCCGGTGTGTTGTCGCTGACAAAACTGTTGAAGAATTCTGAGACGAAAGTATCGTCGAGAACCGGGATGTTGTCAGCCATGGACGAGTCCCTCAGCATCCGGCCAAAATTCCGCATTGAGTGAGAAAATATGACGGGCGTTCATATTTAACGGAGAAAACAGACGTTCAAATTGAATCTGCTTTTTCTGTTGCATTTTTTTTTGTTCAGTCGTCGAAGTGAGCGAATTATTTTATCAATTTGCAGGAGTGATGACGATTTGGATGAGTCGAACATCACGCGGGCTGGTCAAGGACATCAAGGGAAAAAGAAACTCTCCCATCAAAGAGGAAGTCGCAGTGCTGCTGGAAACGACCAAGAGAAAGTGTTCGGAGGTGGGAAACTGACAGAAAAACTAATTCAAGAAGGATTGCTCACGAAAGAAATGTTGGAAGAAATGCAGCAAGAATGGCGCGAGTCACAAAAACGCGAAAATCCCAAGGTAACTGTTGGTGGGCTGGTCGTGCGTGGTAGAGCATTTAATTTAAAATATGGGGTAAAGGAGCTTTTCAAAAGGTAAAAATCTTCCGACTTCGAGTTTTTATGGGATTTTCAATAATGTTGACGCTATTGGGGATGTCTTGAAAGACATCTTGATCATAATACTGTACTTGTTTTCTTATTTTTTCAGAAGAACGATCATGATACTGAAGATTGAAACGTGTGTTTCGTCCGATTGGTTTCTGCAATGGTAAAGTTTTGGATGGATACAATTTCGTTTCATGAAATTTCAGTGATTATTGCTTTTCGGTTCGTGAATCCGCCTGGCTCACTGTTGACGTTAAACGGTGCGAACGTTATTAGCAGAAAATTTAGACTCCTGCTACTTGATGGTCTTCAAATTTCAATGAAATTGTGGATATTTTTCCTGTTCCTGGGCGACGGCACATAGAGAGAATCTCTCGAAGAAGCCTTTGGAAGACAACCATGCTGCATTTTCGAGACCAGTAACCTGCAGTATATATTTTTGTATGTAATCATATTATCGCTTCGGTACTTCTCAGGTTCCACGAATTTAAAAAATGGTCCGAGTGTGCGTCTTGTTTATTGCAATCCTTTGCGGAACTTCAGTTTTCGGTGAGCTTTGCTGTTGAACTGACGTTGTTCATAGGCTTGAAAATATTTTTCGCTTTTAGGAAATCCTTATCAGGACCTGAAAGCAGCTATTCTGAATGGCTACGATGCTGGAGCTCGTCCGGGTGATCCAAGTTCACCAATTAAGGTGGAAGTTGCCCTATCGCCGAATACTATTCGAATCGTGAGTGTCTGAAAGGAAGCTTTTCCTGGTTCGTCTTTGTGAGTGACATTATATTTTCACAGGAAGAATGGCATTCTGCAGTTCACACAGATGCATTTTTGCTTCTGGTAAGTTTCTTCATCAAAGCCATTATGCTAAGTTTAATCTCGTTTTTATAATTTCAGACCTGGCAAGATGAAAGACTAGTGTGGGATTCTGACCAATACTCGGGTGTGTCTTCATTGCGTTTGCATCCTTCGAGTGTTTGGATTCCTGACGTCGTATTGCAGAATGAGTTAGTAAACATTTTTCGAAGGTATGTGTGCCTAATTAGTATCTCAGTATTCTTCCAGGATCCCGACATTTTCAACTGCCATTCAAGCAATGGAGAAGCTCGTCCTTGTGTACAAAAATGGAACTGTGCTTTGGGTTCCGTCCGTTTCATTGAAAGCGGCTTGTGGATTGGACGTCAGGCACTTTCCGCGAGATATACAACGCTGCAAGCTAATGTTTGGCTCGTGGACTTACGACAACTCCGAAATCGAACTGGTTCTTCCGGAAGAGGTTTGATTTGGGATTCAGGGAAAAAATAAGAGGCATTCAAAATAATTTTATCCTGACAGGCCATTCGAAGAAACTTCGCTTTTGAATCGCCGTCGCCTTGGTACTTGAAAGCGTCATACGCGGAAAAGAAAGAAAATGTTTACCCTGGAATCGAGGGCGTATATCCGAGCATCAACTTTATATTCTATCTCCATCGACACGTTGGGTCCTACTGCATCACACTTTACACGCCCATTCTCGGTAAGTCAGTGGCAGTTTGAGGAGTCAAAGAATCCTCGAAGTAAATTGTAATCATGTTTCTAGCCTCTATTATTGCGGGTATCACGAGTCTTCTGCTGTGTGACCGACGTACTCCGGTATCTGCAAGCGTGACTTCGAGTCTTCTAATAGTCTTGGTGTTGGTTTCTGTCATCATGTACCACGGATCAACTCTTCGTATTTCGGGATGCATCGTTCCCTGCATTTGTAAGTGTACCGGATTGATGTTAACTGTTCTAGATGTACAGATGAACGATCATGTTTTTGTTTACAGTCCAGTTCGTCGGAGGCTTGATTATGCTGGAAGTCGCAGTTCTGCCATTGAAAGTTCTGCTGGGAAAATACCTGCTTAGCCAAGAAGCTGAGTCTGCGAAGGAAACCAACAGGGCTCTTCCTCGTTTCGCAAAAGCTATCGTGAATTTCAAGTTGTTCTGCAAACCGAAAAAAGTGCGGGTCTCTAATTTTCTTTTTGAGATTGTGTGAAAAATGATTGCTATTTACTCTGCGTTTCAGGATGGAGAAGATGATGCGTTCCTGCTCGCCTCCGAAATGAACCAGAAGAACAACGAAGATTGGGTCAAACTGGGCTGCGTTTTGAGTTTCTTGATCGGCGTTGTGTATTTCATGGGACTTGGTCTTCTGACTTGGATTTTCGTGATTTCCGCCTGAGAATCTTGGGAAGGAGAAATTTGCGTAAGATATGTCAACGGTCGCGCAATCATATTAAATGTTGGGACACGGAATGAACCGTACTGAGAACATTCAACAGCAGTGTGAAGGCCTTTAGCGGAATGCGTTAAATAGCTTCTTTACGATTAGTGAGAGGAGGGTCAGTTAAACCGAAAAGATCTGCGTGGACAGTTTTTTTTTTTTTTTTTTTTTTTTTTTTTTTTGTTAAGATGTGGGTGGACTGTTTTTTTTTTTTTTTTTTTTTTTAGGTTGTTTGAGTAAAATTTTCACATTTAAAAACGATTTTTCTTCGGAAAAAATAGCGCTTAGTCAAGCGGTTTTTCTTTGTTGGGTTCCCATCGAACTGGTTTAGGAAAATTCATTATGAAGGAGATTCTTTCTTGCACTGATGGTAGCTCTTGTGAATGTGTGCTTCGAGCTTGTAAATGAGATGTAGAATCGTAGCTTCGCTGTGAAATAAGAGCTTTTATTATATACTTTTTTTGTCGAGACGCTGGGACTTGGTTAGCTTCGTTATTTATGTGATTTTTTCTTCAGTACTGTACTGTAGTTTGATTCTATGTCGAACTTCGTGACGCACATCAAGACGGATCGAACAGTGAGACCACTGTGACAAATTTTTGAATGCAAAGCCATTTTTTAGTTGTTTCTCCTGTGTGCATCAAAATGTACTGGTCTTCGATGTAGCCCTGGATACAATCAGCTTGCTTTTCTCCTTTTAGGCGATGTTTTCCGAGCAGCCGCAAGTGTACGGAATGAAATCTAATGCGTTTTGTATCTATGCGTTTCACGAAGCGTAGATGTTGTCTAGCGAGCATTATGTTAGCTCGCTCACAAGTGGGTTTTGGGAATAAATGTAAATTGAAACCGAGTTGCGCGTTGAAGTTTTTAGTGTAGAGGTTTCATGAAGTGTCTCTTCATCTCGCTGAGGAACGTCACCTTTGAGCTTGCTCAGTTTTTTCACATTCATATTCAACGCTGATGGGTTTGGTTCGGTTTGCGTTTCGATTTTAAAATCCGACGAAGTTACTGGAACAAACTGATTCTTGTGCACAGAGGTTATAAATATGCAATTGAAATTTTCGGAAGGGATATGATCGTACAGTGCTGTATTTCAAATCAGTTACATCTTGCCTGTAGGACCTGTCGACTGTGGTTCGGATCAACAGTTCTAGATCGATTTCAACTCGAATCAAGCATCCCTGAGATCATGGTGCAAGAAATTTCAAGAATGGTATCAATGATTCATGCGCTATATCAGATTAACGAGTAACTGATTTTCCGCCCTTTTTTTTTAAACGACATCAATTAAGAAACTCGAGTCGGACGACGGGGAAAATCACGGAAGGTCAAAAGGGATTTGGTTTAATGTCGAATGTTGGGCAGATGCAAAAATCGTTAATTTTCAACCGTCACATGAAATTCAGCCAAATGGAGATCGAGAATATTTGTTCTGAGATTAACACTAATACACTTACACAGTACAACAGTTGCTCTCAGTTTTATTGATCGCTGTATTTAGGATCTCTACGAAGTTCTCCAATAGCCCAAGCGCCATCAGCAAGCACTGGTCTGGGAAAGGTCCAACTCCAACGTTTTCCTTCTTTCTAACCTTGAGTGCGTAACCCTTATTGTGGCTCTTCTTATGATGCTAGATCCCCCTTCCCCCCAATTTTTAATTACTTCGAGACATACTATGCAGTATTTTATACAAGTATACTCGTTCAAACTCGCTGACATTGCTGTTGATCTTCGGGAGCCAGTGAATCACTTCATGTTGCAAAACTTAGCGCAACAATGCAACATTATTTAAGATTCCAGAGAAATTAATTTCTCATTTACGGGTCGTGCACAATGTGCGGTATTGGTAATCCATCTCCTGTTAAAATAGCAAAAGCTCTTATTCTTGGTGAGCACAGTATATTGGATTACGAAGGGTTATAGAATCCGGCCTACGAACACGTGGCATGACCGTTCCGGGCATCTGGTTGAACCGGACAAGGCTGCATAGAATGCGAAAGGCTCTGCTGCTATCTGCTCCCTGCGCCGCATTTGCGACTAATGACAGTTTCATTCCCCACCTCTGTTTCGCGTGGCCTTTGGATGGGATTATACCGACTCGCGGTGAGGTTATACTGTACGATGTCGTGAAAAGAGATTGGAATTCCCGAAATTATACCATAGCATGCGTGTCTTTCCGCTTGACAGATTGAAGTGTGGACTTCAGCATTTCTTGGCCAATTTTGAGGAAAAACGTTTCAATCTGTGAATTGTGACCATGGTCCTGTGAACGAATTGAAGGTTCATTCGCATTTCGCAGCACACTTTTCGGACTAGAAATTGATCAGTTAAGGTCTGTACACGAGGGTTGTGACACTTCCACTTGGCCTTGGGTACTTCTAAAATGGGACCCACTGTAAAAAAAAAATTATGATGTAGCCAATGCAACTCTTAGGTTTTGGGATTTTTCAAGATTTTTATAAAAATGGTTAGATTCACTGCAGGATGATAAGTGAAAACTTTCCAGTTCCAGGGAGAGTTCTCCATTCATGTCACAATAGTTATTACAACTTTTTCAGGCCTGACAAAAAATTCAAAATTTCGTTTTTAGCATGAACTTTCCTACATCTTGTGTTATTTAAATTTTTTTAATTATTACAGTATTTTGTTTGCAACAAATGAAAACCTGTAGTGTATTTTGCATTTTTCCAACAGCAATGGTTCATTTCCAATTATTTTTAAAACTTATCTCCAAAATAATATTCAAAGCAATAATAATATTCCCTTGCCCTTCAAGAAAATACGAAATGCAATTTATTAATTTTTTGAAAACAAAATCATAGTAAAAAAAGTTGAAAAATTCAAAAAATTCAGGAAAGTTCATGCTAAATACAGCATGCAGTTTTCAATATTCTGTCTGGCCTGAAAAAGTTTCAATAAGTATTGTGACATGAATGAAGGACTCTCACTGGACCTGGAAAGTTTTAACTTATCATCGTGCAGTAAATCTAAACATTTTTATAAAAATCTGAAAAAAATCCCAGAACCTAAAAATTGCACGGGCTACATTCTATATTTTTTTTTTGCAGTAGTACCTACTAAAAATACCCAAGGCCAAGTGAAAGTTGGACAACCCTTGAACTTGCAGACAGACTGTCTGTAGGTACGTTACATGAAGAAATCTTGAAACTATAGATAGTCAAAATCAAAATACCGCGGTCAGACAATCAGCACAACCTGCTCTTATTGCCTTCTCATTTCTTGATAATTTAATACAGTCGAACCTCTAAATTTAACTTCAAATAAAAGGACCGGCGGAAAAATCCAGTACAGTATAATGAATGAAAAATTTATTTTTTGATTGGAAATAAACACTGTAGAACGAATTACAGGAAACTAAAATGCGTATTTTTTAACCCTTAATCCGTATAATTAATGAATTGACAGGATAGTGAACTTGGTCGCAATCACTCCTTTTCAAAACCCATTACTGTACAGTATAACATTTGTATGCTTTAATTTTCCTTTGTCTATCACTAGCCAGAATGGTGCAGGAAATTCGAGTTATTCAGAAGGTTTGAGAGGGAAAGCCTTGATTTTGACAGGTTTTTAATGCATTGTTTTTGAAGGAAATTGAGGAAGCAGGGAGTTTTACAAAAATCGACAACACACTGAAGTATTTCCATATTTGACTGCTGGTGGTTCGACGAGTTATATACTGTATAGTGGTTCAACTGTACGGTAACTCGAAATCATTGACGTGAAACCCAGCTGAATAATATCCAAATAAATCTCACGTGTCTGGTAACACAGTTTTATGTATACTGCTCACATTATTTAAAGGACAATAAGAAAACTTCAGTCATATTGCTGGATATCATGTGCGCAATATCCTTATACGAAGCCATAAGCAGTGCAGATTCCTTTGTATCGATCTATATACTGTATATTCGCGGTGAAGTTCTTCAAGGTTGCAGTCCAATTTTTCCATCATCCCTGCCTTGTTAATCATCCGCTCACTGACGCGATTCCTATAGCACAAAGCAATTTATCCCATTATCTGCGGCATATGGAGTAAAGTAAAAAAGGGCACACACGCACACACAGCAATTGGCTGCCAAGTGCCACCGGACTGCTGCAATCGCTTCCGCCGCATCGCAACAATTGGAAGGCGAAAGGGTCGATGAAAAATCACGCTGATGGTGTTTCCTGCTAACTGCGAGGCAGATGCTTCGTCAGTGTTTGTTTTTTCCTCGCATGCCCCCCTCTTATATTCCCGCCCCACACGGAAAAACTGCCGGACTTACATACACTACACTCGCCGCAATGCAATCGGCTTTCCGCGGAAATTACACGGATGAAGCCCCGGCGCGGGCAGCAGCAGCATATGCCACCGAGGAAACGAAGCTCCCGTGTTTTGAGGGGTGGGACGGAACTGCACTGAACGGAACGGGAAGTAATTGCTGCCTTTCTCTGCTGCTGGCACCAATGTCCCACTTCACTCCTCTCTTCTTCCTTCCTTTTGTGTTTTCTGCCTGATGACACGGGGTCAGCTGAGATGTTATCTTGGATTTGCTGTGACCCGGCCTGGTGGTGCTGCGGGACTTGACTCGCGCGCACATTTGGCAGATTGCTCCGAGCATATAGCCTTTCACGCCACTAAAAAAAAGTGTTCTTCGGAGCATATGTTATTTTCTCTTTAAACTTCGTTCTGGAACTGTTGCACCGTATTCTGGCCCCCGGGTTTTTGCATACATCAATCAGTGCTGCTGATCTGCTGCGAAAATAAGTCGTTCGTATTCCAAAAATTAGCCATTGTTCGGACCAATACGGAACTCTCTAAAGATGAAGGCTTTTTCTCAGCTGCTAAAGTTTATATTCTATCCAGCAACCAGCAGCAGTAAATGCGCAGGTTCAAGAATGTTGTAATAATATACGTGTGCAAATTCTTTGCCAAATACAGGTGCTGGTTTCTTTACGATGAAATTCAAGGGAACAGAACAAAATCGTTGATAAGAGAACCCTGATCCTAACTACTGTATATCACAATTCCAGTAATTTAGCCATCTTATTAACGCGGTCTTACATTTTCGAACATAACCCAGCAAGAGTCGACATTTCAAGAGAAGTTGAGAAAGTTCTAAGGAATTTTGACTCAGTTCGAAAAGACGCGCTTCGATTTTCCGCAATGAAAGATTCTTTGTGAAAAGAACTCAATAACATTCAACGACCAAAACCATCCCAACCGAAAGTAGCTTCAATTATCCCGACTTATCATATGTATGAACAAAATATAAACTGCTACTGTATATTTGTTGTTACAAATTAATAATTTTTTTTAATTTTCTGGGGACTGTTCGTCAAAAGCGATACAATTCTGTTGGTTGTGACGACAACTGTTTCAAATGATCTTTTTTTCTTGCCTATTGATCGTATTATGTATTGTACTGTAGTAGTTAAAAAAACAAATGATAAGAATACAGTATATTTATCAACAGTTTTTTTATAATTTCTTCCCGCGGGAAGATTTGTATGCACGAAACTTGAAATATTAAGTGTTCGAAGATATTATCAATCATGACCAACTGTGCAATGTCATTGAAAATACCACATGGCTAGAAACTGAAAGCCAATAAATGAGCCATTAGTTAATTTATATGCTTAATACTGAAAGACTGAATATTTCTTTATAATAGAGCGACCAACACCGAGTTGATCACATCAAAATAATTTCACGAAGCATAACAATAACCTCTCAGAAGTCACGTACGTAATACGTTGCTGATGTGAAAATGTTAACGCGACCATGCCCGCATGAAACTATAAAATATATTGAATCATCACTTCGATCCTTAAATGCTTTTTGTAGAT